ACCCCTCCATCCTCTCCTTCAACCTCGTGGCGGTGGCTCCCCATCCTCCCAGTTATCCTTTCCCTTCCCCAATACACTCCTATTCCGCACTCCTCGCCTTGAACTTCCAGTCCTTCGCCACCACCTCCCCACTCCCCGCCGCCAGTCCCTCCGTCCTCTCCCTCGGCCCCAGCGTCTCATACGCATCCACAAGATCAATCGTCTGCTGCACGACCGCGTCCCACTGCTTTTCCGTCCCCTCCTCCCACTTTGGCTGACTAGTAACCGCGCGCCACGCCTTCTCATGACACTCGAGCGCGGACGCGGGGCGTTGGGTATGCGTGTACATCGTCGCCAACACACCCCACAACTTGGGCGAGTGAGTGATCAACGGCTTGATATTTTTCTCCACTAGCTCGTTCGCCATGCGCGGCAAGCCGGGGCGTGCAATATCGAAGCCATCCTCCGAGCGCACGAGGTCTTTGATCAGCATGTCGAGGATCTCGGCGTCGACGCACTTTTCGCCATCTGTGGCGCCGCGCAACTCGCAGATGCTGCGCTGGGCGTTGATTACGTCGGGCCAGGAGGGCGGGGTGGTGGAGGCTGCGGTCGCGAGGACATTGGACCAGATGCGGAAGTTGTCGTGTTTGAGGGTGGCGGCGCGGCGGAAGGCTTTGAGGGCGTCGGTGCGGGGGTGGTTTGTGACGCGTTGGTCTTCGCCGGCTTCGTTGGTGCTGGTCTTGGGGCGGAGGTGGAGCAGGGAGGCGGCGAGGTTGGACCAGGATTCTGCGTCGGTGTCGTCGAGTTGCACGCAGCGGGAGAAGGATTCGACGGCGTTTTTGAATTGGAGAAGTTCGAGTTGGGAGCAGCCAAGGGCGAACCAGGCGGGTTGGTAGAGAGAGTTGACTTTTAGGGATAGGGAGTAGGCTTCAGCTGCTTTTTCGTAGTTGCGTGCTGCGATGTAATGTTGACCTAAAGAGCGTTGGGCGCGAGCATAGCGGCTGCCTGAGACCTCCCATGCTTTGTCGTACATGGAGAGATCTTTTTCGATGTCGCCAAGGATACAGTAAAAGCGCGGTGCTTCAGCAGGAGGAGGATCGCGCGCTGGTCCTTCCCAGTTCTCAGACTCCAAATCCACATCTTCATCGTTGCCGTTTGTTGCGTGGAAGAGTTGTCTCCGCATCACCCTACGAGCCTTGTCTTCTTTCTCAGTCGCAGCCCAACATAACGCTGCTTCGGCCCACATCTCCAAACGCTCGTAGATATCAAGAGCAGATCGCAGACCGCCGACATGTACCCATCGCGCAGCCAACTCAGCTTCTAGCTCCCATCTTGACGGCGAGCCAAGTGCGAAAACATATCGAAGACGCTCACTCACTGACGCCGCCTCGTCGTCCTTCGCTTGCGGCAAGAACGATGTGATCTTTTCGTTCGTCTCAGCGTCTGTCGTGCCCTCGCCAGAAGTCTCTGCAATGACTTGATCGACTAGTGCTTGTAATTGTAGCAATACCTCGCTCCATAGTCCTCGACTTGTAGCCTTCAATGCGACTCCGCACCAGAAGAGCTTGCGTGTACACCTGCCAATTCGAGCTGCCACCTTCCAGCACTCTTGTCGCATAAGGTATCGTCTCCTCTCTCGTAATGCCATCTGCAGGATTCGTGTTTTTGATGCCTTCAGCCAGCGAAAGCAGAATCACTGAGTCCAGCGGATCGAGCAGTGGTTGGTTTGCTGGATCCAGCTCTGCAAGTCCAGCAGGTAGTGAAGAATCGTCCTTGATATCCATCGATGCCACGTTCTCCGTGAACTGAATGGACTCATGCAGAGTATCGTCATTCAGATCCAACGCTTTTGGTTTCGAAGCCTCGCTTGACGTGCCATTCGTTTGTGTGCCTACACTCCGTGCAAGTACAAGCAGTTGGCTCGTATCTTTCTGCTGGAACTTTGTCCTCTTGCCCATCATTCCAGTCAATGCAAATTCAAACTTGCGCTCTGTAGTTGCATGATCCAAGTCCGCTTTTGCCTTCTTGTCGAGGCCATGATGAGTGTTAATCGCAGCTCGTTCGAGGATGAAGTTCGTGTACAAGTCCTTGATTTCATCCTTCTTCCCAGAGTTCAGTATCAAATCTTCCACAATTTTGACGTCCTCGTATATCGCATCTTGCAAGCTTGACGCCGGCTCGCTCAGTAGCCTCTGGTGCATAAAATTTGTCCGTAATCGCGCCCAGGCTGAGATGTCGATGTTCTTCTGGATCGGTGGGCAGATCAGGATGGTCTCGGCTAAGCATAGCAGTTCAATGTTTGGTGTGAGCTTGTACGCTGCAACACCATCCGCACTCAGAGATGCGATCAAATCCGCTCGAGTCTTGCTGAGTGCTTTAGTGTCACCCGATACTTCTTTCGGTAGTACCACTTCCGCGGATTTGAAAGGAAGTGGCGGCCCCGTAACAGTAGACTGTATGAACGCATACAGCGCCGCGACTGCTACAAGGAAGACCAGATGTTGTCGATACGCCGCGGTTTCCGTGATTGGTGTTCCTTGCTCTTCATTGCGTTTCGATAGGATTAAGCCTAGCCGATGGAAAACATAATCGCTCCAGATTCCAAAATCACTTCTCTTCACATCTTTCGTGGCTTCGTTTTCTCCATGTCCAAGCAGCACTTGCACTTCCGGATGCTGGAAAACCGCCAAGAAATCGCCTGATTCGGTCGCCTTGAGTACATCCTCCAGGACAGCGGCGAGCTCGTCTGGCAACGAGCTGCGGAAGAAGCTCAGGAGCACGTCTGCCATGTTAGTTTTTTCCAGCTTCGATTATGCGGGGTCGGTAGAGAATGTTCAATGTTGGGCGATGAGTAAAATGGTGGGCAATTTTCAGCACTAACCGCATTCAGCGTTGGGAAGGCGGGACTATTTATACGGCTGTGGATGCTACACACAACGGACAGACAGCGGAAGCATGTAAATCGATGCGGAAATATGCTTCATACATGATTTGACAACCACTTTCTCAACAACTAAAGACGCGAACTGACTGACTCATCGAATTGGTGGTGATCGGAGTCATCGATACATCAAAAGGGCGGAACTTTAGTAATAATAATACGGGATTCATTATCTTATGGGATACCAACGCTCGCGCAACCGCGCAGAGCAAACAAGTCATATCACATTAACGCAAGCAATGCCCAATCAAAGCAATCCTAGTCCGAGTCACTGCTCGACGAAGAGCTGCTCTTACCACGACTATGACTGCGGCTATGGCTCCTGTGCTTCTTGTGCTTCTTGTGTCCATGTCCATGGCTACTCCCACCATGGCTCTCCGGATACAAGCCGCCCACCGCCGCCGACCCCGCATACGACGAACCGCCATGGTGCGAGGAGCCATGATGCGAAGAGCCATGAGAAGAGCCATGAGAAGAGCCGTGATGCGAGCCGTGGCTGCCATGCGACTTGTGCTTTTTGTGCTTCTTCTCTTTCCTGTTGCTTGTTAGAATTCGGAGTCTGTTTGCGCGAGGGGCTGGGCTTACTTGTCGCTTAGCACGTTCGCGCCGATAGCACCAGCAACAAGGCCGCCGAGCGTGCCCAACGTTCCTCCGCCCATTTTGTTACCCAGGAATGCGCCGCCAGCGCCGCCGATGAGAGTCGAACCTAGGCCGCGGTCGCCTTCGGCTGGACCTCCTGGAGCGCCGGGCTGGCCGTAAGCCGGCTGCTGACCATAGCCCGGCTGCTGGTGGTCGCCGTATCCGGGCTGACCACCGTATCCGTGTTGCTGGTTGGGATCCTGGTAGCCTTGGTGCGGCTGGATATGCTGGTGTTGTGGCGCAGGCGGGTAGGGAGAGTGGCTGCGGTTGGGATCGTAGCCTTGATCGTACTGGTTCTGCGGTGGGGCGTTGTAGCCTTGCTGCTGGTGCTGGTACTGATCGTGGGGTGGTGCTGGGTACGGGCTCTGTGGAGGGGTCAGTGTTTGGTCTACACCGGCATGCGCCGAAATCGCAAGGGTGTTCTTACATGTCCCTGGGGTGGGTATGGGCTATGCGATCCGCCATACTGCTCGTGAGCTGGCTGTCCTTGTGGAGGGTAGCCTTGGTAGCCTTGCGCTTGCTGCTGTCCGTGATGCGCGCCATCATAGCCCTGACCTCCATAGCCTTGCTGGCCACCGCCGCCATAGTAGTCGCCGCTTGACATGATGAAGTTTGTGAATGTGTTTGAGGGTGAGAGGGTGAGAATAGGGTCGAGGTGTAGTAATGTAGATGTAGCTGAAAGGCTGTCTCGGAGAGTTAAGCGTGAATGCTTACGGGTGATGGAGGGGCAAGCGCCGCGGTTGGGCAGGAGGCGTTTGCGACAGCACGCGCGCCTTTGAATGCGACACGCCTTCGCACGCGGCGGCTGACTGGAGACGCCACATGTTACAGGAGAAATTGACTGCCTGATCTGATGACACGGTTGCTCCCATCTCCCTTCCTATGTCGCGGCGGGGTCGGACTTCGACGCTGTGAGGTGGGGTCCGCGAAGCTGCGAACTGCACAGGGTCTTGTGGCAGTGCAACCACCAACAACACTCATATCGCATATGTAGCTGTACAGCTCACCGCAATGTGTTAGTTTTCCACAGCCGAAAGACAAGACGAATACGCTGGATCAGACTGCAGAACTGCGAACGGCGTCATTGCAGCGCAGCATGGTGGCTGAGAGCTTGAATACGCTGTACGATAGCCTACTTGACTTCGGAGCTCTTGAATTAGGTGGTACGAAGGGCTTGGGGTTTTCGAAGAGGTTATTATGACATTACATTAAGTGACCACTCATGGATATGAGTCCTAGGAGCTGTGTATGTTGCACATACACTTTCGAGTCAATGTCTTCGGTGCCGACTCCCTGTGAGAGGATACTCTTAGCAACTTCATACTTCGATCCGAGGCATTCGCCAATCATCTTCCTCTCCATGAGAGCTCCCCTAGATCTTCGCGCAAAAGATGCTGTGAACTTTGCTGTCCACCCAGTCAGGCAGCGTACTAATCGCGTCCGACGCGTCCTTGCTTCCACAGTCGTACTCGGAGCCGTTCGCTGGGCAGTCATGACCGCTATTCTAAATTAGCCTGTAGTCACCATCTCTACTCGGAGCTTTACTCACATGTAGAACTGGCATCTGTAGCCCTTCTCGACAACTATGCTGCGCACGCGGCCGTCAAAGTTGCCAAAGATGTTGTTGAGATCGCCGCAGTACGACGAAGTGCCAGGGACAAAGGTCGAGTCGCCTTGGAAGTTGGGTGACGTGTAGATTGTGGCGCCGCGGCCGTCGTTGTAGGTAGGCTGGGACATGTCAGGAAGATCAAACATAGGTAGGTTTGGGGCAACATACGGCTGGGAGGGCGGTGACGAGGGTGCTCAGCAAAGCGACGACGGAGATGAAGAGTTGCATCTTGGACACTGGTAATGAGAGTAGGTTGAATGAGTGGAGGTTGTAGGGAGTGAGGTTGTAGTGAGCGAGGATGTAGAAGGTCGATGAGAGATCGAGTTAGCTAGGTAAGAGGTATTTGAGAAAGAAAGTGAATGAAAGACTAAAATAGCTGGGAGATATTAGCAAACGGAAAGGCCCACGGTATGGATCGTGCATCTCAGCATCTCATAGGGAAATGCAAACAACGACCACCAGGCTACGCGGCTTCGAGCCATCTACAGCTCCCCGATACCCTTGCAGCGCATCGTCTTCATGGCTCTCAGGGCAGGTAGTCATTTCCTCCACATAGAAACACCAATAGAGATCGCCAAACGAATGACCCGCCACGTTCCGCAGCGCCACCAACGTGCGGCGCCATTAAAAGAAGAATCACCGGCGTCTTTGTTCATGGTCGTTAAGCTTCCCTCCTGGGCAAGCGCAACGCGACGGCTGTACTCAAAAGTTCTAGAGCAGAGAATAAGCATTAACAGCAATTAACGACGTTCACAAGACCAGGTTGTCGGTGACAAGCAAATGACATCCATGTCTGTCGAGACATGTCAAACCCTAGGAAATGAGGGCGCGGTGATGATTCGGCCCTCTTGTCGCTGACACGAAACTTTGTTTACGTGTTAGCGCCGCCCTGCCATCGTGTGCGCTTCAACGGCAGTTGAGCTGATCTAAGCATCGTCGGAGTTTTGCCAGCGCAGTGCTTGGTGTTGAACAAGCAGCACCGCACAAGTTATGAACGGAAGTGACTGTGGTTCCAGCAGCCGGGATGGCTATCTAATATGGCGTTCAGCAGCAAATTGGGGTGTAGATTCAGGAAGCCGGTAACTCATGCGCATTGTATGGTGAACTCTGCAAGACAGCCGTAGTCAGTTCTTTGAGAGTATTGCCAGCTCTTTGTGAGCAAAGGTTCGACTACTCGTTGGATGTCAACTTCGCCTGCACCGTTACAATCACCTGCACATCTACATTGTGCGCTTCATGAAGCCAGAATAGTGCTCGGCTCTTCATCTGCCAAAGTGAACCGAAGATCCGCCTATCGAAATGTGAGTGGGTCGTGGGAGTGAAATGCGGTAGGTTGTGTCGATCGAGTTGGATCAGGGAGTTTCAGACTTTGCCTGCGCGTAAACGCGCTGTCACGTGCTCCTTCCACGCCGCGGTTAGCGCGTTTGGCACTGTTGCCTAAAGCTTGTCGTTACTATTACCACCAAAACACCAGAGGGGGTTACTGTAGTTCCTTAGCAGGATGGACCGCCCCCAGCCGCTATTACTTGAGCGACGAAATTGCTCTTCCTCTTCGTCGTCGTCCTCAACATCTCAGACACACCATGGCTAAGGCTGCTATTCCTACCGAAGATGTGGCCCAAGATGACCTATGTCCTGTATGTGTTCCCCTCGCACTAGCAAATTCCGAATTCTGATGCTGCTAGATCTGTCAATTGCTCCTATACATCCCCGTGAGAACGAGGTGCAACCACCTCCTATGCTCATCTTGCATGGCCCAATGGCAAGACGCATCCTCCGCGACTACCAGTATCGAGGCTTCAAGTCTCGACGTCGAACTTGCTCTTTTTGATCCCGACTATGACCCAACATACGATCTCGAAGCCAGTTGCCCCATGTGTCGGAACTATACAAATGCTACACCAGACGAAGCCTTGGCTGCCCATCTCAAGACGAAATATCCATCGCTGTATGAGGAGAGGAGGGTGGAGGAAGAGGTCGAGCGGGGATCTCGTTCAGGTACTGATGGTATCGAAGGAATCATGATATTGATCGGAAACAAGCACCAGTTGGTCGAAGAAGCAGACGATGCCAACGAGCATGATTGGACGTTCTTCGTGCGAACATCACGCCCAGACCTGGTCAAGCATGTGCGCATTTATCTGGTCAGTACTTACTATTACGCTGCAAGACCTCACTGAGACCCGATAGCATGAAAGTTTTAGGCCACCGCAGCTTACGCTTCGAAAGCCGCCCTACGAAGTCCGGCGTCTCGGTTGGGGACACTTCACTCTCGAAGCTGAGATCGTGCTGAAGGAGCCATACAGCTGGGTTGTTAATGACAGTGGTTCTAGGCAGGCGGGTCTCGAGCTGAGTTGGGCTCTGAACTTCGAAGGCGGAGGTCGCCAAGGACGGGTGAGGGCAAAGGTCAAGAAGTTTCACGAAGACACGCCGCCAGCAAATGGGCGACGTGTTCTTAGGTCAGGACGTATGGCAACAAACGCACCTGTTCGGGTCGACGATGATGAAGACGATGATGCCGATTACGACGATGACGAAAGTGATGAAGATGAAACCTCGTCCGAAGAGGAAGAGATCAGCGAGTTTCTTGACACTCCCTAGAGACAATGAAACCCTGGCAAGGGCAACAGGCTGCTTGTCTATCTACACTAGCTGGTGGGTCTTGTGCTCTGACCCAAGTACGGACTTCTAGAATATTTCCGCAGGTATGACAGCATGAGAGCAACCGCTCTTGAGCCACCACGTGGCTGACGTATAAGCCGGGATTAATTTTGGATCGTACTTTCAGTGATTGAGGCTTCTGCATGTCAAGCTTATCTCAGAGCTTGGCGAAGAGCATCAATTCGTTCGGAGCGGCAGTCCTAGCCAAGCAATGACATTCCACGACTTAGCTCGTTGCGATGGTCTTCCTATAGGAGTTCAGATCGTTGCCACGGACGTTGCACTGCAGTCTGCGTAGCTTACAATAGATCTCGGTGCGACCAACTACTGTGTGTGGCTTTGTATGTACTGAGGAAGAGCAGCCATAGACTTTCGAATTCAGCCAATTGCCAAATGTGGCTATGTGCGTGCGGGGAAAGAAGAGCTATAGACACACACCGATCGAGGCTCCCAAGATCCGAGCTAACGTCGTTAAGCCTATTATTGCTCTTCGTACAACGTATCTTCAGTCAAAGGCGCCAATCAACATCAAGAACTCAGTCAACCCAACTAGTTAAACCTTAGCGTGCACTGTTTCGCGATTCTGATGTTTGTGCGTATCTGAGTCTATGTTTCGACGCGAGATCTCACTGCAACTTTTTATATCTCGTTGGAGAGCTGTTGCTACGGTCGCATTCATGCGTAGTATACTCTCCAAAGAGGGCTGGCATTTTGGATGAAGAGTGGTATATAATGCATCTGGCTGCAAATTCGAAATCTTATCATCCGCTACGGTATGCACACTCCTCACAATAACTACTCCATACTTCTATTTCCAACATGGATCTCGCACGATACTTCAGCACGGGGCGGAAAGGGCAATCTCAACACCACTCGCCAGACCAATCAAGGAATGGCAAACAAAGTTGTCTTCCACTCCTTGCCAACCCCATTAACGAAGATGTCCGGGAAGTTCTATCGGGCAGTTTCGCGGACCTGGAAAAAATGAATAACACAACATGCATCAGTGGCACCTCAACTGAATCTCTCACTTTGGGGAGCAACGGCAGGACAAGTCGCGACAACGTCATCATCTACAAGCGGCATCACGAAGCCAGCAGCATCGAGCTATTCTACGATCTCTTCTTTGTCGCGAATCTAGGTAACTAAACATAATCAAGATGTATAGATACTTGCTGACTGAGCATAGCATATTTTACCGCCATGCATCAACATACAGATGCACAAGGTATGTCCGCAGCTTGAATGACACGTGCTACACTAAAATCTCCCCAGCACTGATCGACTACCTCAAGCTCTTCACCCTAATCTGGTTCACCTGGCTCAGCACCACGCTCTTCGACGTGCGCTTCAGCATCGACTGCGTGTGGAACCGCATCCACAAAGCGATCCAATTCGGCGTCTTCACCGGCTTCGTCTTTGCCGGTCCCGTGTTCGACAGATATACCCCGACCAATGTGGCCACATCCTACAGACAGTTTGGCATTGTGTTGGTCGTCAGCAGAATCGCAATCGTCATGCAGTATGGGGTGGTTATGTGGCAGGGTAGGATGTTCCGGCAGACCCTGGTGCCGCTGGGGTTGAGTACGGCGGTGCATGCGATGGCAGCGGTGGCGTACGGGATTACTATTGGGGTATATCCTAGGGGTGCAGTTGGGCTAGAGGAGCAGGTCGTTTGGTAAGTTGGCAGCATTCCTCTCTTGGAAGTATGCTAACAGGCTATGTTGGGTGATCATTTCCATCGTGGAAGGACTCCTAATCTTCCTCATCGCCATCATCTGGCGAATTGTCAGCTTCAAGTATACGCATTTGATTGAGCGATTACAGCTGCTCACACTCATCATCATCGGCGAGGGAATCATCGGTATGGTGAAGAGTGTAGCCTGCATCTTCAAAGGACAATCGGACAATAACTCCACGGAAATCGGAACAGTCGTTGCTGCAGTTGTTCTACTTTATCTTCTCTACATGCTTTACTTCGACCAGCTCTCCCACGACCGATTCGGCACGGTGCGTCAGCAAATTTGGTCGCTCCTACATTATCCCCTTCACATGGCGATACTCTTATGTGTGGAAGGCAACACCTCGCTGATAACCTGGAACACATCTGTCCAAGCCCTCAGATGGATGTGGGATCTCGCGCCCGACTTCTCCGACCCGAGCGACGGCTTCGACAGCACCAGCGATCTCCTCAGTAGCTTGAACCGAAGCATGTGGCAAATCGACGCCCGCTTCCCAATGAAATACTGGAACGCGACAAACAAATGGCATAGCAACTTCACCGCCATCGAGAACTACACAGCGACATATGGCTTCCGATCTGATGAGTGGAACAGTCGCACTGGCGAACTCATACGCTCCATCTTCGATAACGCGCAAGTCTTCGTCTTCGAAGCGCACGCCGATACCCTGGGCAAACTCAACGCTGTTTCCGCACCAGCTACGGATCCTCGCCAACGCCTCGAGCGCATTTATGCTGTTTTCGACACCGCTGTTCTGCAATTTTACATCGGCGCTGGCGCGGTCTTACTCGTGCTCGCGGTGATGTACTGGTTCAACAAGCTGCACAAGACGAAGTACGAGTTCGGCGAGATCATCAACCGCATGGTCGTCGGTTTTGCGCTGATGATCGTCGGGGTAGCGACTGTGATTGGGAACAAGTCGATGAGTGGGTTCAAGTTTGTGGGGAGCGCGTGGATTATTCCCGTGGTGGTGTTTTGTTATGTCGCTGGTGAGAACTCTCATGCACCTCTAACGATGACTTGGATTGGGATACTGACGGGGAACAGTACTGTTGATGGATAACTTCCTGCTTGCCATGTCGTACCACACCTCGCGTCGTAGAGCTGAAAGCGACGATGACGCAGACCACATCGAGAAATCCTCGCCCCGCGCAGATGATTTGTCCACATCGCTCAGTCGAGTCCAAACCGCGTATAGTTCGCCTTCTCGAAGCTGTAGTCCAACGCCGCCGAAAGTCCGCTTCGATATTCCGGCAAAGCAAGTTCAGACTTCGGCCATGCCACGAGATGACGCGAGCAGAAACTTGTCACAACATAACAGATCTGCTGCGGATGCGATTGGGGGTTTGGGGATGGTGGATGTGTCTGTGGGTCCGATTGAGCGCGAAATTGGCCAAGAAAGAAATAGTAGAGAGTGTACGTGTAGGACTAGAGATGATGGCGCGGATGTATTGCGCGATGGAGGGGATCATGCGCAAAACATGACGGTGAAGGATTTGTGAAATAGGGTGTTAAGAGGTGTGGTGACTTGGTTCGATGCATTTGATAAGCGTAGCGCTGCATTTCCCGGAGTTGGTTCTGATAGCATTTTCGCGCGATAGGATATATGATATGTTGCCTTGACTATGTCTTTATACATCAGACAGCAACTTCTAGATTACTGCTAATTAGACCGATACCATGAATCTGAGGAAGACTTCCGCAGTAGCCGGTCAGAGCACCGCAACTACCTCACATCACAGACACTGAATTTGCTTCATCTCCTCCAAGCTTGTACGAATGTCCGACACATAATGCCTCTATTCTTGGTGTAGAAGATCTTCCATCATGATCAATGTCCGGGTGATGAGGCTCTGCTGGATTGGCATTCGCCCATATTCGAAGCAGAAAGGACTAGAGATCTCCTGCTTAGCTTTCTTTAGTACTTGCCACAGCTTCTGAAAAGAGCATGGAAGACAAAAATATAACTCAGACAAAGAGAAGGCAAAGAAGGACAAGAGAGGGTCATAGAGGAGGGAAAGGACACTAAATGTTAAAGAGCTGAAACACCTTAGTTGCAATGCACCGTACACTAACACACTGAGCGGACCCTCGTTGAAACATGCAGCGAATGGCAAGACGCGACTTTGAAATTCGAGTGTAGTCATGATGATGACGGATACAGAAGACCATACTCGCGCCATCGTTCGAGGCCACGATCGAAGATTTTCCATGGCGATCTTCCGTCTCACTGGAACTTCCGTGATCGGCAATCGCCTCAGCGGCACGCTTGCCATGCGAAAAAGCATCGTTATGATTACCGCCTCGGTTGGATCCAGACGCTTCACAGCGTTCACAATAGCCAAATGTAGCCAGCGTTTGACAGATTGTTGAGGGGCAGGTGAGCACAAGAACGCCTCCATGCAGACATCGCATCTTCTATCTGATCGTAGATATCTTATCAGTGTTCAGCCGCATGTGCGGAGAAAGCTGTACAAGATGCTGCAGGTGTCGTCCCTAGCGCGTCAAAGGGTGTGGCGGCTATGGCGACCTAGAAGCCGGGATCGTAGGGCTTAGCGATGTACGGTCCTGCTCCAGGCTCTGTGTGGTACTCTGGTCTCTGGAGATGTCCGATCGCAGGGTTGAGGTCGCCTAGATTCGCGTGCTTTGCGATTCTGAGGAGCCTTGGTCTAGAGACTGTAATCGCTCGCCACGGACTTTGGCGGTGTACGTAGCCACAGACCCACAACGAGTCGCGGAACACTCATCGACGAATTGACGCATTTTGGATGCAGAAAGCGACGAGGTGAAGGAAATAGGACTTTGAAGTCACGAGTTGAGTTGTCGCGTGCCGGCAGGCCCGCGGGTGTCGCGTCAAGGCGTGATCGGCAGAGCACCCAAGAGAGAAGTCATGACGGAGTCACGTTGCTGCTGACAACGGACCTGCAAACTTCTCTTCATCGCTACATAGTGGCTTCACCTCATCACGACCGCGGTGTACCTTTTCACCTCATAGATTCTGCCTCGTGTCTACAATTTATACACCACTTTTGCTGCAGAACACGGTATGCATTTTCATCAGCCCCAGCATGCAGGCACTTTTCATTCTGCCAACTAGTGTCAACAACTGGCTGCTACGGGAGGCTGAGCTTGCAGATGTCTTCTAGAAGCATTTAGGCAAAGCACTTATGCACGAGTGGCCCTTTACTCGACACCGGTGTACGATTGTGGTTGCAGCTCTTTCCGCAGCTTGCTGACTAGCTGTCGAGAGGCAACAAGTACGGCGTCCACACATGCAGGACATTGGCCGCCTTACCTGAAAGCAACACAATCTGTGCTACATGGGCAAGTAAGGCAGACTTGACGGACGTTTCACATTGGTCCCAGTCCAACACCACACCGAGTCGACGTATTCCAACATTGAGCATACTCGAGTCAATCACGGATGTATGGGACGGTACTCTGTACGTACTGAAAATGCAGACAGTCCACCCACGGACCCTTAGGACAAGCAGGGCTCCCAGCTCTTGCATGCCTTGGCTCTTCGGCTTCCACGAGTGCGGCTGCGCATGCCAGACGCTCGATGCCGTCATCTGTACCGGACTCTGCTCGACTACTGGACGCACATTGGACAAGGGACCTTCACCTTACCGTGCCACTAGCTCAACAGAAGCTCGTGCGCCATTATTCTCTTTCTTATCGAAAACAGCATTCAAGGGCCGGAACTCGCTTCGCGGCCTCAATTAGGCACGCAGCTCTCGGGACGGTATCATGCGACCTCTTTCCAACAAAAGATGCGAGGGCCTTTGCTGTGCTGCTGGCGCTGCGCCGCAGTCAAAAGCAAAGCTATCCTCGATGTCCAGATGCAGCCAATGAATGTGACAAATGGTTCACTTGTGCGAGATACGAACAGCGAGGGCAGGGGTTCGCGACGACCCGCCAGCATCTCCGGATACGCCTGGACACCTGACTTTGCGGAGTGTTTCCCTCTGCATGTGCTTGGAAGGGAAATGTATCCACTGCAGAGTAGCGGAGGTCTCCTAGCCTACAACCCGCGAGACTGGATTACGTTTCCCACGATGTCTACCGTATGGGATTGTGGGTTTGCTGAGGATCTGGACGTCTGGACCCACGTCGCAAGGCCCGGTTCCTGATCCAGGCGCACGTTTTCATCCAAGGTAAGCGCGCTCGAAGGCAGTCTTTAGCAACCAGGCAAGCTATCGCCCAGACTGCGTGACTAAGGCCACCGCCGACACAGCTAGCAGGACGGTGTTGCGCTGATTCGCACGCGACAGGCCAACGAGCGGGGTCGCGGGCGCAGTGGTGAGGCCGGGGTGTGATGAAAACTCTGTGCCGCTGCCGACGATCCATGCCCAGAGCCATGGGTCCATTTACTACTCTTTATGCCGTTAGCCAACTCCGGCCGGCCAAGACCAGCCCTGGAAAACGGCTAACTGCTTTCGCTCACTAGTCGCATTGCACGCTCACCACCGTCGGGAGCCCACTGCAGGGCTCAGGGCTCTGCACCATGTCCCGCGTTTGCCTTTTGGTATAAAGCCTGTGCCACTCACCCCAGCGTTCCGGGTTGATAAGGGCGTCCCTCAATCTACCACTGCTCCTCCGCCCCTCTACGTCCACTTGCACAGTGCGACTACATTTTGTAGCTCCGGCTCCCTCCTCCCCCACGCAATTGATAGTCGATTCCTTTGCGCCACTCGACTCCCAAGCAACTATCCTCAAGCGACACTTCCTCAAGCGACCCTCTCTGCCACTGCGACAACAACCGGCTCCCTTTGCGACAAAAACCCTCTGCAACCATGACTGAAGAGAAGAAGTATTCCGGCGAGTTCGTCAGGGAGACATATCCCAGCGACCATGATGTCCAACAGGGCTCATACACCGACAACTCGGATGACCTACAGCGTCATCTTGGCAATCGTCAGATTCAGCTGATTGCCATCGGTGGCTCTATCGGTACAGCGCTGTTCGTAAGTGTTGGCGGTGCCCTCAACAAGGGTGGCCCCCTAGGCATGCTCATCGCCTACTCTGGATACTGCTGTATCATTGCTCTGGTAAACAACGCTATGGCCGAAATGGCCACCTTCATGCCCGTCTCTGGAGGCTTTATTCGAATGGCAGGTCACTGGGTTGATGAGGCGTTCGGCTTTGTTGCTGGATGGAACTTCTTCCTTTACGAGGCACTGCTCATTCCCTTCGAAATCACCGCTCTGAATCTTGTCCTCAAATATTGGCGAGACGATATTCCTGTAGCCGCAGTCTGTGCTGCCGTCATTGTCTTATATGGGTAAGGCTTCACTACATACACATCTGCAGTTTTGCAGGAAACAGAGCTAATTCCCGCAGTTTATGCAACATCCTTGCTGTCAAAGCATACGGAGAAGCTGAATTCTGGCTGTCAGGTGGCAAGGTCCTCTTGATCTTGATCCTGTACCTCTTCACATTCATCACCATGGTCGGTGGTAACCCCCGGAAGGATGCTTATGGCTTCCGTTACTGGCGCAACCCCGGCCCAATGAATCCCGCAGGCAACGGTGATCTTGGACGATTCGAGGGTTTCCTCGGAGCCCTCTGGGCTGCCTCCTTCTGTGTCGTTGGCCCCGAGTACATCTCCATGGTTTCCGGCGAGGCCAAGCGTCCTCGTGTCTACATCAAGAGCGCCTTCAAGACAGTCTACTTCCGTTTCGGTGCCTTCTTCATCCTTGGAGCCCTTTGCGTCGGTGTGGTTTGTGCGTACAACGACCCCGAACTCGTCTCGGTCCTCACTGCTGGCGAGAGCTCTGCTGCCGCATCACCCTATGTCATTGCCATGAAGAACCTCAACATCAACGGCCTTCCCCATCTTGTCAACGCCCTGTTGATCACCAGTATCTTCTCGGCTGGAAACACATACACGTACTGTGCTACCCGTAGCTTGTACTCGCTCGCCATCGAAGGTCGTGCCCCCAAGTTCCTGCGCAAGTGCACAAAGAACGGTGTCCCGATCTACTGCTTCGCCGTCGTCATGATCTTCCCATTCTTGTCGTTCCTTAACTTGTCGGACTCGGCCTCCAAAGTTCTCACATGGCTCACGAACATCATCACTGCTGGTGGTCTCATCAACTACATCATCATGTGCATCACGTACATTTGCTTCTTCAGAGCTTGCAAGGCGCAGGGTTTGGACCGCAAGACTCTGCCATACACCGGATACTTCCAGCCTTACGGCACGTACATCGCACTAGCCTTCGAGGTCGTTGTCGTGTTCGTTTATGGGTACAGCACGTTCACTGGAAAGTTCTCTATCGAGTCGTTCTTCACATACTACACCATGCTCATCCTCGCTCCCATCCTGTTCATTTTCTGGAAGGTGCTCCACAAGACCAAGTTCATTCCCGCCAGCCAGGTCGACCTTGTCTGGGACGCTCCTCTCATTGATGCGTACGAAGCGTCGTTCACAACACCTCCCGTGTCTTTCTGTGAGTCCCACTCCCACCCTGCTACTACGTTCCGAGAACTAATCTTTCCCAGGGACCGAGATGCTCCAGCTCGTTGGTTTCAAGCGAGGGGTTGCTGTAGATAAGCGCGCTGTCTAAGTGCTCTTGTACGGATCGTTCTATACGCACAACAGACAGTTTGTGCAGAACACCCAAAGCGATTTGCTATTATCTTACGATTTGCAACGGTCTGATGACATTCATTGACCATTTGGAGTTGCCTTTTTAGCGCTGACTGAAATCGATACCCCATTCGCTCTATTCACAGTTCAAGTCTTCGCAAGTGATAACCACCATTGACCAAAGGATTCGAACGATTCCATGCGACCATATCATTCCACGCGACCAAGTTCCCAAGCGACAATTCACACTGCTATCGAATACTGTTCTCAATTGTTGATGGACTAGTACCATGGAGATGACGGCCCGTGGCAACGATTCCTTTGCGTGGCTGCAATATGAAAATGTTGGCAGATCAGTCTTCTGGCTCTGCAGACACCTTCCCATTGGAACAAATTAATTGGTCCATGGACAAGGTACTGACAATGCTCTCTACCACATTGCTTCGCGTCAATGCCACGGCCATGGAGGCGAACCCATCAATCGCAGCTCGTGTTTTCGGACATAAATCAGGCCATTGCCAACGGGTGATGGCGTCGTCCCGCAGCAGGCCAAGCAATCCTACCTTCGGCTGCGGTCTTGTCTCGCCAGCACCTCGACCTTACCTCGGCGCTTGGTTATCATACGCGCATTGATGCCAGCCGATAGCGATACAGAACTCGCAGAAACCTGGGATTTGTCCTCAAGCATGATTCCGCGTGTTACATCACTGATCGCGTGCCAAACTGAGTGGTCCATCTGCAGATGAATCGGTGGTCATTGTTAACCAGGGACCTGGTAAGACTAGCACAAGCCAGAGCGTATCGCGCTTCTGTAAGGTCTTTCCTACTATACAGGTCAGCATCGCTCTCAATACCCCGAATCGTCGATGGCATCCGGCCATATCTCACCCTGGGGGTCAAACGAGATCTGGCCACCACACTATCAATGGGCTGGCACAACCGTTCGACTTAGTATCAAGCCCACACATACGCGTCGGACGTACCCCAGAGTTCCACAAGCCTGGCTCTGATAAGGAATTCGGTGCCTTGCAGCCGTCCCCTGATTGTACCAAATCGTATCCGACCTCATTTTTGCGCGAGACGAGGTCTGATTTCCCCGCGTTTTCGGACATCCCGAATACTTCCGCAGTACCAGTGGCTTGTCCCGCAAGCGGATCCGCACATCATTACCCGTCAGCGCGAGAGATAGTGAAGGGCGGGATCACGGGATCACTTTGCGTAAAAGAGACTAGTGTGCAGCCACCCCCAAACGCCTTTCTTGCGCCTCAGCTGACACTTTGCCGTCGGAAAGCCCAATGGTTCTTCGGAGAAAGAAAGCGTGTTATCAGCAGATGGGAAGTGAGCACAGTCTCTACCGGTGAACGATCGCAGTTGCGTACGATCAACGCCCGTAAACCCGTGCAGGATGACTCTGCCGAGCCAGTCACATTTGAAGAGCATTTGTTTGCTGTTTCGTAGAACGGCAACTACAGAAGTACTGTTGGCGGCTTCATCCACCATTACTTTCACAGAGGCTTCAGTTACGCCAGCCTATGCTGTCGAATAGATCGGCAAGAATATCGGATGGCAAAAACACGACGCATCATTACAATCACACAACCACCAACATGTACTGATCGTTCAAGGATGTCTCTCCGCCCTCCACATATCATATCGACTCTTCGGACTTGGTGGAGGCACGCGAGTGTGTGTGGATAGAGCTCCACCCAGCCTCAGGGTCTCCATCCAGTCCCTGTTGATCTTGGCTGATACCGCGAACGCACAGCTCACAACATGGCAAGCCCACCAAACCGTTACACCAGCCTTGACACCAAACAATAGATAAGCAAACATTGGATAGATATCAGCAATTTCGCGTCCATGCGCAACTGCAACTTTATCTCTGCGCGCTCTCCCACGTCTCCACAGTCTTCAAACGAACGCACTGTTGTTCGGCTAAACTTCTCGGCGCAACTTCCCCAGCCATGCATGCCTTGCGTGCAGTTCCTCCAAATAACGAGGAATTCGGTCCGATGTGAGGCGCGCCGGTTGGAACCAATCACTCGGGTGTACGCGAGCCTGGGCTGACGTAGTCCGCTGGGCGCACGCCCGGTGCGGCTGATTGCAAGCTTTCGCATTGGGGGGCCTGTGCATGCCCAGGTGTGGGGCGCGCAGATTGGTGCTCGGTGGCTTGGGCCGAAGTGCGCGATTTCTAGAATGCGTGCAGAATGTACGGGGGTATCGGTGGTGGTGGTGGTGGTGTTGTTGGAAGTGCGGTCATGGATGTAGGCGCGAATGTTACAGATGTTTGTTATGGATAGAATGCTGCAGGGGGCTTGATGCACGTGACGGCAAATCCATCAACATCGACGTGGGGTTTGGAACTTTGGGCTTGATGGAACAGAATGAATGGTTCTATGGAATTCAATAGCATGCAATGTTAAAGACCGCCTATTCTATTGCGTGACGACCATTCGCGCCGGACCACTCACTCCAGCATACAACTCCCACACAAACTGCAGCCCAAGCGACAGTAGCAGAAACGGGACAACAATACGCCCCAGCACACGTCCCCAAGACACCCTTCCCTTCTCATCAGATCCCTCAACAACCGTCTTGTAGCTCAGTCGTCCTAGCCAGACATGCCAGCCCAACAGCAAGACAGTCGCAATGAACACGCTAGTGTAGGGCACAGCTGGCTCATACGGTGAGCGCGCTCGTCGGCTCAGGAGTTCGTAGACGTCGTCTAGGGATTGGACGATGCGATGCATCAGAGTGGGCACGATGAACATTGCGGCCGCGAGGGCTACAACTTCGAGGAGGCGCATGGCGAGACGGAGGGGAAGGTTGGCGGTGCTTTTGTGGCGTTGGTAGGATGACAGGTTGTCCATGGCTTCGAGGACTGGTTGGAGAGGATGGGGCGTTGAGAATGGCCAAGTGATGGTTTCTCCAGGACGTGGTGTGCGAACCAAAGAGGGATGTGTGAAGGCTATGGGTGTATCGTGCAGGTGAAGGCGTGACCCGCAAGTGTGTATATGTGTGATCTTGCTGTGTCGTCTACGCTAGGCGTAGTATCTATCTCAATTCGGGGTTCGTAGCGAGTGCTTTCCAGTATTGAAGTTCTCCCGGATGCTCAATTGAGGTCTGCTCTTTCTCGAGTGGTCACCTGACCGATATCGTGACGCGCTTTGCTCTTTCTGTAGAGTTCTACTCCCGAAGCTCCTTGTCCGCTTCTCCTTGTCTTTCCCCAAAGGCCCAGAATAACGAATGTATGTCTATAGAAATAGTGGGCACAGGTGGTTGATTCTAGAATGCGCCGCAATGTAGATGAATCAGGAGATGTTGGGGGTTTGTCCTCCGCGCAAGACACGCGATGTGCCCCACTTCGAAACCACGCTAGCCGGATGTGTCGATTGAAGCATAGTTTCCTTCGACACAATACCTCATTGCTTCGACTTAAGAGCAGAAATTCGATATCGCTAAGAAAGAGTAGCGTAGCATTTTTGAACGGTACTTCCTTCCCAAACTGTATACAGATGCGATGGAGATCATGGACAACGTTATCGACCGCATAGTTTCGGTGCAACGCCGCAAACTACTTATAGTGAGTACACATGTGTGTCCATTGCAGATGAGTTCCTATGAGCTATCGTCTAGGAAAGCAAGGTATGCGACGTCAATCTGGTTGTATGGAAAACACAAGTTGACTTTCTATTGCCGGATTCACGTACTTCTTGATCGCATCCTTGCCTAGCAAATCCGAGCATGTTCAGTGCTCTTGACCGAGTGACAGGTGTGTTCCCAAACAGCGATATGGCATTTGCTTGCAAAACGTTTATTGCTGGCCTCTCCGATCGCACTAGCTACCGGTACCCCACCTGCCCCGCTTGACACGCCCTCACTTGTGCCTTCTACGACTCTTAGGTGTCGCTCTTGGCAAATCATACATCCCATCACGAGAGCTTCGAAAAGCTGACCCTCAGCTGCTATATCGCCCTTACTTGGACATCTGTAGCGCCGCTGTCTCTTGCCTAATATTTACCGATCGCATCTCTTAAGTCTATCCTCTACTGTTTCAGTGTTCTCCACCGTACTACACAACTAGGGATATCCAACTATAAACGACCTATTAACGACCTACACGTATCTAGAGGCGCACCAACTCCGATACTATACTGTTCTTCACGACTGCAACTGCAACCACAACGTTGAGAGCGTCCAACGATCGCAGACATAAATCGCACCTGGGACACTTCCTATCTGGTCGGTGTGAAGCCAAGACCGCGACCTTATATCATTTTGAGCCAAAAGTCCTTTGACTTCAACCATGTGTCGTTGGTTCGCCTACATATCTCCTACAGAGCCATGTCTCTTGTCCGACGTCCTTATCACACCTGCGAACAGCATCAGCAAGCAATGTTCCGAGCACTACCTACCAGGGCTTCTACCTCATAAGAAGGACAAGGACCTTGATCATACATCCGATGAACTTCTCCGCATGCGCAACTCGTTGCTGAATATGGATGGATTAGGCATTGCTTGTAAGTGACATGCCACTCCAGTGATCAATTGTGTTCAGATGAACCACAAAATAGTCTGACGTTTGTTGGTTTGTGCAATAACACTGCACTGCCCAGAGGCTCAGAGGCTCATTATCTACTTCAATGCTCTTCAATATATACTCATGTCGCTACCAGGGTACACTGAAGCCACCTCTTCCTACGTTAAGCACGTCACTGGCCCCCGTCCCGCCCTGTACAAATCCCAAAGTCCGCCCATCAATGACTTCAACTTCAAATCGCTGTGCGAAAACACAGAAACACGATGCGTGTTCGCACACATCCGCGCCAGCAGTGGCAGTGTTGTGACACAAGTCAATTCGCATCCGTTCGTATTTGGCAGGCATATCTTCATGCACAACGGTGTCATTTCGAACTTCTCTGCCATACGCCGCGACCTCACTGATCTCCTGTCATTCGACGCGTATTGTAATATCCTAGGATCTACGGACTCGGAACATGCAGCGGCATTGTACATGACGAATTTGACGAACCATGGAGACAAGAAGAGTTGGGACAAACCATATTCGCTCAAAGCCATGTTCGTGGCTATGCGCAAGACCGTACTGCAGATATTGCAGCTCCAGCACGACAAATTGGGCGAGACGAACACACCGAATTCTCTCAACTTCTGCACGACAGACGGCACGAGACTTCTTGCCATTCGCTTTCGCAATCATGCGTCGCAACAGCCGCCGAGTCTGTATTGGTCCGAGTTTGCGGGTCGCACACTGAATACGAAGTACCCGGGTCACCCCGATAGCAAGGATATCGTGAATGAAGATTCAGTACTAGACGAAGGCGAGAAGATTGGCAAGCACACGATTGTCGCATCCGAACCGACGACGTACGATGAGAAAGAGTGGCATCTGATCTCCCGAAACCACGCTTTGCTCGTCGACGAAGACGGCGTGGAGAAAGAACTAGAGATCGAATACAATGACGGACTAAACGCGCGAGACCCGAAGTTCGACGCACAAGCCTAGGGGACCTGGTTACTCGCACGAGGTGGCTAGGGCAATAATCCGAGTATATTTGCTAGAATTATATGCAGTGCCCGTCTTTATAATATCTTACAACCCAGTTGCCGTATGAGACCAGTGTTAAGCATGTGCTGCCCTAGCATACTGACACGACGAAATGAAATAAAACAAATTAACGACCCGTCTCTAGACTGAACGGTAGGTACCCGCTCCGTCGCTTCTGTCCAAGACTCCGATTCCCTCGAAGGTCGCGCCGCTTCCTTTCCTCTTCACTTCTTCGGGTACGCCTAGACCCATCTTCTCCTTCATACCGAATTGGCGTTGCATTTCTTCTTCGCGCTCCAACTCTGCTTCGCGTCTTGCTACCTCGACGTAACGCAAGCGCTCCGCACGTGCTTTTTCTTGTAATTCGCCGAAGGGATCGAAGCGCTCACTTTCAGGGTTGCGGAAGGGGTTCTTCACCCAGCTGCCACGGTCTGTCAGTGTGGTCGAGCGCGGTCGGCCAGCTAAGACATCGTATGCTTTGTTGAGCGGTGGGTCTGCGAAGGGGTTTGGCGTTGGTACAGGCTGGCCCATGGGGAAGCGAGATCGGTTGCGCTCTGTTGATACTGTCTCTGGACGGATGTATGGAGCGGCCCCGAAGAGTGATTCGCTTCGATCGGTGGAGCGCGTAAGATGTGATCCACCACCGCCGAATCGAGAGTCGCTGGCGACATGTGCTGTTTCTGGAGCGACGAGAGACCCTGTATTGCCCGGATAGAAGGGATCGTCGGGCAAGCGTCGGTTGTATTGTCGACGCTTGCGACGCTTGATGAAAACAACCGCTGCGACGATGATGGCGAGTGCACCTGTCATGGTCAGAAATGTATAATCATAATGTGCGGGATAGTCTTACCTATGATGCTGAGGGTAATGGCCGCCGCTGCACCACCCTTGGTGATCATTGTCCTTTCTTCTTGCGGAGAAGATTTCTGCGGCCCCGCATTCTGACCAGCATTCTCTGATTGTGCGGGAGGTGATACTTGGTTATTCGTTGGAGCAGCAGCGACAGTTGCTGGGTTCGCCGGTCGGGTGGTGGTGGTCATAGAAGGTGAAACTGTGATTTGAGGGGCAGCAGCAATATTGCCCTGCGACGAGAAGCTGACGGCGAATCCAGGCCGAGCACCTGAGGGCACACCTGGTGCCGCCGTAGTAGATGGAGCTGGGATACTAGCAGGTGCGCTGGATGATGGCAACATAGGTTGGCCAGAGGAAACTGCTTGCTCTCCTGCAACTGGTGATTCTGGCTCCTCCGGCTCTTCATCATCATCCGACTCTGAATCGTCGCTCTCGGATGCCATTCCTGCTGTCGACGGGCTACTCTCTGGGGAATCTGGACTTTCTAGACCCTCATCTTCCTCCTCTTCCTCTTCCTCCTCTGCTTCCGGTGCCTCTGTTGGTCCAGGTGCTGGAGCACTGCTTGCGCTGGTGGCTTGTCGACGACTGCGCCTTGGAATGATCTTTACGGGCGCTGGCCGACGAAGTTGGTAACGGGCCATATTGATGTGTATTATTACGAATATTTCTGGTCTGTACTGGTAGACCCTAAGGGTGACTGTTCAATGTAAAGAAAGGTCACCAGGACTACGAATCGAAAGAGTGAATCCGGTCAACGGTGTGTAGTAGGTAAGTATGGCCTGACTTTCGCGGTGCGTGAACGACCAGGAAAGCGGAGAGAAGGAAAGTTACTGAGGATGGGCACGCCAATGCTTTGAACGCGGGTGGCGCCTTGGAAGCTTGTCGCCTGGGGCATTGTTCTCGAGCACGTATTGTCTCCAAGATGCTCATGTGGGTCGCGACTCAATTAAGCTCCGGGGATTCGGTGTTCTGATAGCTGTCGTTGGAACGGGGTTGCATCTTTTTGGTCGAGATCCGCGTCAAATGGACTGAGGCTGCCATGAGCCAAGTCGCACAGCGTGGGATCAACACAAGCACCCGACACAGTTTAGAAAAGTGCAAGTTGCTTTGATTGCTTTCTCAAGGGTGCTGTGGTGGTTGCAGCTTGGTGGTTGGCTGCTACGAAAATCTGAGACATCTTGGCGGTTTTGACGAGCCATGATGCAGCACAACGTGCTTCAGGCGATGGGCGGGTACCGCTGTGTCAAGAGAGATAAGAGCCGATCTTGGCGGAAAGGCAAGCTTCGAATGATCTCCCAATTTTGTTTATGAGAAAGAGAAGAGATGGATACTTCGCGCATAATTGGGATTGTAGCTCATTGGGAGCTAGAATGCCATGGCAGCCACTCCACGGCGGCAACCACTCGAGGCGCGCTTCGTTATTATCGAGACATTCTCCGGGGTTGAATTTGACACAGTACAGGCTTCCTGGGGTTGCGACACCAGTGGCTGTCAGTATGAGGCTTGACGGGGGTGAAGCGGAGATGTGGCGGGCTCACCGGATTCCGTGCACTGGTCCCTGATGACATAAGCCTGGCCTGCATAATGCGACCACGGCACTTCCCTCAGCCGCATGGAAGAGAACACAAATACTTCTTCTAGTCTCCAAATAGATACACTATCCAGCCCAACCACGTCATGTAGAACCTGATGTCTCCTCAGATGCAACCTTACGATGAATGTCGTATGCGTCGTCGTCATGGTCAAGTGATATCTTGCTACAATAATATTACAAAGATGTACGGATACTAAGGACTCTATAACACCAACAAAAGCCGGTTTGGGGCTCCCTGAATCAAGCTGGTATGCTGCGATCGAGACTTTGCCCTAGGCACATCTCGTAGTATACACCTCGCTTCGACAACAACTCCTGATGAGTGCCAATTTCAAGAATTTTTCCCCTCGCAAACACCATAATGAGATCAGCACCTTTGATGGTGCTTAGACGGTGAGCTACTGCGACTGTCGTTCTTCCGCTCTGTGCTTGTTCCAAGGCAGCCTGTACTACCCTTTCAGACTCTGTATCGAGCGCAGAAGTCGCTTCATCAAGAAGGAGTAATCGCGGTTCACGTATCAGAGCACGTGCAATCGCAATGCGCTGGCGTTGACCTCCAGATAGCTGCGTCCCTCTACTTCCGCACATGGTTGCGAACCCTTCGGGCAAGGAAGCGACAAAGTCGCTAATGTTGCTCTGCTTCGCGGCTGCTTCGACCTGAGCATCCGTAACGTCTGTCTCCATCCCCATGGCAATGTTGTCGCGTACAGATCCCTGATACAAGACGGGCTCTTGTTGCACAAGCGCAACATCTCTGCGGTATTTCCTGGGACAAAGATGTTGCAGGTTGGCGCCATCGCAGGAAATGCACCCAGAGACTGGATCGTAGAAACGTTCGAGAAGCGAGATCATGGTCGACTTTCCGCATCCGCTGGCACCGACTAGTGCTATGAATTGGCCGGGACGAGCCTGGCGGTCGTCAGTAATTGCAACACTTTCAAAGGGGGATAGTATCTCACATCGATGTTGATCCCTTCCAAAACCTTCGCATGCGGCCTCGACTCGTACGCAAAAGCGACGTTCTGTACCTCGATGTGCGCCGGCCCTTTGGCATCATCGCCTTCAAACGGTGGTTTCGACGAATCTTCCTGGACAGCAGGCTGCTGACGCCGCAGCCGGAAAATGTAGTTCGCTGCGGTAGCAGATTTGGTAAGACTGGATGTGTAGGAGAAGAATTGTGCAGCTGCCTCTCCGGAGAATATAACGCCAATAAAGACGATGAAGAATTGTGTCGTGGTGTACTCGCCATTGCTTATGAGTTGGCCGCCATACCTGCGAGACGTCAAGTTTTGCCGGAGAACAGGAGACGGATAACTTACCAGAAGCCCAAGGCCATTGCTAGAAATGAAATGGACTGGGTGAGTGAGTACCAAAACATAGTCCACACTAAGGCTTTGATCGACTTCCGCGCAACACCTTGTAAGCGCCCTTGATATTTATCAAGAATGTGTCGCTCCAGCGCAAGACTTGACACGGTACGAATGGCTGATACAGCTTCAGATGCTAGAGCGGCGCTACTAGCAAATCGTTTGCCGGTGTCTTCTTCCAACTTGAACTCAAGGCGGATGCGGAGATAGCCAGAGAATACAATAGGTATCATCGCTCCGAAGACGACGGCCAGACCAAGCTTCCAGCCAACGACGATAGCGAGGATCGAGCTGGAAAGGATGTTGACGATGTTGATGCCGATGAGCATGATGTTGAAGCCAAGAAGTTCGGCCATGTTGTTGGGATAGTTCGAGAGGTTCGAGGCTAGCGCTCCACTGGCATTGGCTTCATCGTCGAAAAAGGCCATGTCTTGCTTTGCAATCAGTTCGAATATCTCATGTCTGTACCTTCTAGAGACGTGCTGTGCGACGATATTGCTGACCCAGCCAACGGTAGCAAATACCATAAGGATGCCGATCGCGATTATAAAAAACATCAGAGAGTAGAAGTCGCCTTGATCAACCCCTTCACTTGGCGACAGTTGGAACGCTCCAATCACCCGTGAGAACAATATGGCTTGGGCTGGATACGCCGCACCTATCATTGTCAGCTTCAGGATCGCAGTCGCAGTGTGCCATTCTTACCTCCAGCGATCGTCGCGATAGCGAGAATGATGAATAACTTCCAGAGATGGCTCTGCTCTTTTAGTACAATGAAGATGCAGCTGATCAAGTTAATGTCTGCGCCATTCTTTTTAGAATCAATGGAGACTTGGGGCGCGCCCTGTGTCTGTGTCTGTGTTCGAACAAGGGCGATTCTTTCAGCGGTCTTCTCTTCGGCTACGACTTCATCACCCTCAGCTTGACCAAGATCTTGTGCGTTGACCAAACGAGCTTTGAGAGTGGATCAGCCTTTTGTTGATATACAAGTATTGTTCATCTCAATGCTTACCATATGCTTCGTCGAGTTTCAACAGCTCCTCGTGCGCACCCTGTTCGACGACGGCACCATTTGCGATGACAGCAATGTTTTCGGCCGTTCGTATTGTAGAAAGCTTATGGGCAATGACGATGGTTGTGCGATTCCTTGAAACCCGATCGAGCGCTTGCTGAACAATCTTTTCGGCTTTGGGATCGAGGGCGCTCGTGGCTTCATCGAGGAGAAGTACTGTCGGCTCGGAGACAATGCTACGTGCAATGGCAATTCTTTGCTTCTGTCCACCCGAAAGATTCATAGCGCGTTCGCCGAGCTGAGTGTCATAGCCCTGTGCAATTTAGCAGTGGTCCGCAACCTCAACGCGAAGACGTACCTTGGGAAGCTGAGCAATGAACTCATCAGCATAAGCATCTTTGCATGCCTTCTCGATCAGAGCACGCTGCTCGACTTCGGGCAGGTTTGCCTTATCTGTCCCAAAGAGCCCAGATGCGACGTTCTCATAGACTGTACCAGAAAATAGCACAGGCTCTTGCTGGACAAGGCGGATATTCGTTCTCAACCAGGTCAAATTGAGCTCGCGAATATCGATACCGTCAAGGGTTATTATTCCACTAGGCTGATCGTACCATCGTTCTGTAAACGAAACATCAGTGCTGATTTTAATAATTGGCACACAAGATACATACCGAGAAGGCCGATAACGGTGGATTTTCCAGAACCACTTGCTCCTACCAAAGCGGTTGTCTGGCGTGCTGGTGCAGACAATGTAAGTCCATTCAAGACAGTAGTGTCTGCTCTTGCAGGATAAGCAAACGTAATGTCCTTGATTTCAATTACTCCGTCGCAAGTCTCCGGAACGATCCCTTCATCGTTCAATGGGTCAATCTCCGATTTTCTGTCAATCGTTCGAAACAACTCCTGTGCGGAGGAAGATGCTTTCGCAAAAGTCATACCATTAGGCGCTACAGTCGTCATTGCTGTGGCTGCAACGATCACTGCAAATATCACCGTGATGCTATACTGGTCAGCTGTGCTATATCAGAAAGTCGTAACGCAACTTACACATCACCACTCTCGCGGATCTCCCCGCTAAAGTACATTCTGATACCCTGCCAGAACGCCAATCCGTACGCTGAATACACGCAGAAGAACTCGGTCGAAAATAAGACAGCGAATACAGGCGAAAGCTTCATGCCAACCACCATGGCTTCGTCCAAGAACTTGTCGAATTTGCGCAACAGCAAAGGGTTGAGCCAGAAAGCATGCACTGTGCGAATGGAAGAAAAGACTTCTTCAGCCAACAGACCTGCCGTTGAGTAGATTTCGAGTTGACGGGACTCGTGCTTGGTGGCAAGGGTAACACATATGCCCACTACCACTACGATGGTGGGAACAACGCATATAGTTATCAGCGTGAGTTTCCATTGAACGGTGAATGCGACAACGAATGCCGATACAAAAGTGGACACTGCTTGGATTGTCATGCTCAACTTTTCAGAAATCCCATTAGATGCATTATTTCCGTTCGTCGTTGCCTGAGTAGTGACGGATGCAATAGACTCGGAATCGAAGTATGCGATGTTCTGCCGTAAGATATGCTTGATGAAGTCGACCCGGAGAGCCTTGGTCGTTCGTATAGCGGCAATTGAAATGCATACCTATGTGATGTGAGCAGCTGCGATTACTAATAAGCTTCTCGTGAAAAGATGCTGAAATGCATAGGTCTGGCCGGAGGAACAATCGGTGTAGTGATCTTGTTGAGCAACTTACTGAGTGAATGTACACCAACGCAAATTTCGCAACGAAGAGGTATATGAAGTACAGTCTGGTACATGTTAGCTACATCATTGAAATGCCAGAAGTGTGCTAGACTGACGTGAATTTGTTCACGTCTGCGCGGTATGTTGCTGCCGAAATTGCGCCAGTACCGAAACCAGTGAAGCTAGTCACGAATTTACCAAATACCAAGTTCATCAACGGCAGCAATACGCCAGCAGCAATGGCTGCAACGAAAGCTACGATATTGAGGGTCCAACTCAGCGCATCGGCGTATGTGAAAATACGCTGTGATATGTCAGCCATATCTTCTTGGTATAGCGCTTAGAGAGACTCACAAAGTAGGGGTTCATCCCGCTTCTCGCTTCATTTGGTCCAATCTTGCCGTCATTTGTAGGTTTCTTTGCATCGTCGCTTTGACGCCGTATTGGCGACGGCGAGGGCTCCTTCTCAGTGAGCGACATGTGTAGGAATTAAACTGGTTAGCTGCGTGTTGCGACAACTCCCTTCAAACGGGTGTGCACGCCTGTCAGCTATAGGTAGACGTGGTGGTTGGACGGGGCCCGCGGTGCCCGGAACCTCAGACCCCTGATTCGCGAACGATTCGCGATGGCTTGGTGAGCCGATGCGTGCATGCGTTCTCAAAGGGTTTGGTTGTGCATCGATCGACGTCACCGTTTCGCGATTGCGCTCGGCGCATTCGATCCTTGTAAGCATCACTTCTTGCCTTACATAGTCTTATAACCGATGCTAGGAACCTTTGCAAACTTACACAAGATCAAGCCAACGAGATGAACGGACGTGTTGAGCCCAACATCTCATTTCAGTACTGAAGCACAGAACAATAAGATACTGCCAAATAAGCAGCGTTGGATAATCTCTTGATGTGCACCATGATTCTTCCCAGTGCTGGAGAAATTGTGTCGCTGTTGCCTGATCGCTGAATTCAGCTATTGATGACATAACCATCTACTAAGATTCGGCGTTGCGGAGCTCTAGAGATGCGCGCCCGAACTCTCCTCTCACAGTCGCACCTCACTCGTGTTTAGCGGAATTCGCATTCACAAGCCACGAGTTCAAAATGGACGATGGAGATGACATCGATGTTTCGCACGATGGCTCTGCCTCTAAGCGTGCTGTATGCAGATCCAATCCTTTCGTATCGAACCAAGGCTAACAACACGTTGTAGTGTGACTCGTGTCGAAACAGAAAGTCAGTTCATGAGGCAACTATGTATGCCCATTTTTGACATGTCTTTCAACAAGAATTCGATGCGATCGCCTTATGCCGTGCTCCAACTGTAAAGCAAGCAAATTAAGTGAGTTTCATGCGGAATGCAAACTCCAACGCAACTGATTGGACAAGCTTGCACCACAACGGCTCCTACCCAGAAATCTCAGCGACAAAGAGTGCATATATCCGAAGAATAGTGAGTCGACGCCATGAAAATATATATATAGCAGTGTCATATAGCATCTGGACACCATTCGTTGCGATCTCTGCTACCATACATAGGCGTCATAAAAGCTAGCTAACATGGAACACAGCGAAAAGAAAATTGATCGCATAGAAGACCGACTTGCAGGCATTGAAAATGTCCTGGCGAGCCTTGCTACGAAACTTGGCGATCTCGACTTACGAAGAGACTCAACAGAAATAAGCAGCCAGTCCCGGTCGAGCCGTAGGACGGCTGGCAGGAGCCCGGGAACTTTGGAAGAGGCAGGCACGCCAGCACCTTTCGAGGGTGAAACAGCAATTGCTAGCCAGTCTGACTATGCACGAGAGCTACTGAGGAAGGCTGTCGGCAGTACTCCTTCCATTGAGCAGAACGCCGAAGTAAAGTCTGCTTTACATGCACTCAACGAATTGGCCCCACAACAAGGCCAAGCCCCATCGTCTGCTAGCTACTCACTGATTAATCATTCCTTCGCAGAGCTAGACCCAGAAACACTGGCCAAACCACCTTGGGATGCGGTAAGCAATATGGTGGATGAGGCGAGCAGTAAGTGGTTCAGACAGATTGTGTTCAGTTGTCCTGACTATAGCAGAAAATCCGACGATGTCACTTGCTCTGCTGTTTCCGTTTCTGCAGATGAAGAATTTGAACGACATCATCTACGATGCATACTACAACCCAGGAGGATGCGGCTCTACTCGAAGAATGCTTGCGTATGGCATAATACACATCATCGTCGAAGAGTACGCCATTTACCCCCTAGAAGGGATGAACAAGGAAGATAACATGACCTACGTCAGCCAGTGTAAACTTCAAATGGAGGTCGCAGTGAGCCAGCTCGATATCTTCATGGTCGCGAGCTACGAAAACATCATGGCTTTGATGTTAGGCGGCGCATGGGCTGTTGAGATGAGCCGACCGTCGCTTACATCTGTAATGGTTGGCACAGCGGCAAGGCTCTGCCAGACTTTAGGATATCACCGATACACGACCTATGCCAACGACACCGAAGAGGACCGGAACAGCAAGCTGCATATATTCTGGATGATATATATGTTTGACAAGACCATGTCGCTTCGGCTAGGTCGGGCAAGTTTCATCCAGGACTATGATATTTCTCTGCCGTTCTTCGGTGATAGCCAGCCATCACCGGGGAGTCCTGACTCGAAGCTGATGCTCTCATACTGGTGCAAAGTTGCGCGAGTGCAAGGCCAAACATATGAGAAGCTGTTCAGTCCGGCAGCCTTTCTTAGAACTGCAGAAGAACGAACCCAGACAGCAATCGAACTGGTGAAAGCAATGAATCAAGCATGGTATGAGCGAGGAGATGCCCGAGTTTCAGACATGCCAAATGGACACTGTATTTCAGACGTTCAAGACCAGCATGCAACCACCAACTTCACTGGTCCTAACGAGACAGAGCTGCCATCGAAGCGCAAGCGCGGTGCGTCGCAATCGCCTGCTGTCGGCAAGAGCCAGAAGGGTACACTAGCAGAACTGGAGGACGTGTTCTTCTACTCGGACGTCGTTATGCACTACTCAACCTGCTCGTTGATACAGAGAGCAGTCAGTCCAGATAACGTCACCTTCAATGATGAATGCTTGGAATCAGCCCGGGCGGCTCTTGTGGCCCACATGCGGTGCAACGACCGGTTTAATGTTGCTGGAAATGAATACCTCTGGTCAGGTTATATTCATTGGTCAATTCTACAGGTTCATAATCCAAGATCATATGCTTCATCACAACGGCTAACGAGGCGAACAGGCACCCTTTACACCGTAAGTATCTCATGGAACCATTCTGCAGATTACTAACATGTGTTGCAGCTTCATTGTGATCGTCTGTAACCTCATCCAGAACACAGATTTCACAGATGTACCATCTCTCGAGGACTTTGTGAAGAGTCTTGAGGCTTGCCGCTCCCTCTCGGAAGGTGCGGACAAGCTGTACAAGATGTGCAATCTTTTCCTCCGAGTTGCAAAACTGTACTTGCAAGCCAAGTCGCAAGATAATACTACCTTGTCGCAAACCTTCTCACAGAGCCAGCCAAGCTACTACAATTCCGCGGATGGATCTCAGTTCGACCCCAACTACATGACAGACTTTGACCCTTATCTGAGCGCGTTGGGTCTCATGCCAAATTCAGCTTGGCCAATGTCGAACTACGGGACCGCACAAGCAGAAGGCTTCGAAACCTACACACAGAGCCAGAATGTGGGTGGGGTGACTGGTTTGGAAGTTCCCGGCATGGGGCTTCCCGGCGGAGGCCAGCACCCGGTCCAAGACTGGTTTTCAGGTTCAAGATACCTGATGGGTAGGATGGAAGCCGGCGATGATTTGCAGATGCCGGATCTTGATCTTTGAGCGCGCTTTGCTACTTGATTAAGAAGTCGTACACTTGACAAAGCAGAGTCATGAAGCTCATACAAACAAATAGATACCCCACTCTTGATAGAGTTTCGAGCTCCGCCCGGTATTGTGGCGCTAGTCCAGGGCTGTTAGCACTGACGCGACGTGATTGAAACCTTATCCCCACACGTCAAAAACACTTCATGCCTTGTTTCTCGCGACTACATGCTGAATCCTAGTACTACAATCTGAGGCAATTCGGCAGTTGCTTCGCTAAATCCAACTACCATGGTGCAGTTGGACCATGATCGAGTTTCATTCACGATCCCGTCGGAAGAAGCGCGAATCAGTTCGATGATTACGATGACATTACTGCTCGATCGATTCTTTTTACACGCCATTTACATACAAAGAAAGACTCCTCATCAAACAACTATACAGGTAAAGAAAATCTCCGCCACTCATCCCCCTGCTCCCTTCTTTCGCACTCCCTTTCTCATCCACATTCAAACTATTCGACTATTATGGACTCGGTCAACATCTAGTTGTTCTTCTTGCCTTGACCCTGGCCTTGGCCGGCGTTCTTGCCTTTGCCCTTGTGGTGAGGCTCAGGAGAGGCTTCACGGCGGTTGTTCTTCTTGCCCTGACCCTGACCTTGACCGGCGTTCTTGCCCTTGCCTTTGTGGTGGGGTTCTGGTGAGGCATCGCGGACCTTGTTGTTCTTCTTGCCTTGGCCCTGACCTTGACCACCGGCGTTCTTGCCCTTGCCCTTGTGGTGAGGCTCAGGGTTGCGAGTATGGAGATCAGCCCAGTGAGCGTCATCCTCCTCTTGTGAAAGCTCAACTTGACGAGCGTTGTTCTTCTTGCCTTGACCCTGACCTTGACCACCGGCGTTCTTGCCCTTGCCCTTGTGATGTGGCTCAGGAGAGGCTTCACGGCGGTTGTTGTTGTTCTTTCCCTGGCCCTGGCCCTGACCGGCGTTCTTGCCCTTGCCCTTGTGGTGAGGTTCAGGGTTGCGAGTGTGGAGATCAGCCCAGTGAGCATCGTCCTCCTCTTGTGAAAGCTCAGCCTGGCGGGCGTTGTTCTTCTTGCCTTGACCCTGACCTTGACCACCGGCGTTCTTGCCCTTGCCCTTGTGGTGAGGCTCAGGGTTGCGAGTATGGAGATCAGCCCAGTGAGCATCATCCTCCTCTTGTGAAAGCTCAACCTGGCGGGCGTTGTTCTTCTTGCCTTGGCCCTGGCCCTGACCGGCGTTCTTGCCCTTGCCCTTGTGGTGGGGTTCTGGTGAGGCATCGCGGACCTTGTTGTTCTTCTTGCCCTGGCCTTGACCCTGGCCGGCGTTCTTGCCTTTACCCTTGTGGTGAGGCGCACGGGTCTCGAGGTCGAAATCGTCTTCCTCCTCGTCAACGTCGCGCTGGTTCTTCTTTCCCTGGCCCTGGCCAGCGTTCTTGCCCTTGCCTTTGTGATGGGGCTCGGGGTCACGAGTGTGAAGGTCGGCCCAGTGAGCATCGTCGTCCTCTTCTTCGTCTACTTGACGAGCGTTGTTCTTCTTTCCGGCACCATTGCCCTTGCCCTTGCCTCGGTGGTGAGGCTCACGAGCCTCGACGTCACGGCTAGCAAGAGCAGCGACAAGGTTTGAAGCTTGGACAGATCCACTTCCCTAGTATATACATTAGTGACAGCTCAGTACTTAGATTAGTATAGAAGACTTACCACCATACGCGCCGCTACACTGTTCTTCTGTGCCTCTGGTACAACATAGGCCGAAGTGGAGGCAGCAAGTGCCGAAAGGGCTAGAACTGAAAACCTCATGATGGAAGATTGTAAGTGTTATTTATAAATGTCGAATGAACGAATAGTCTGCCAGCAGAGAAGAATAGATGAAACTGTATGAGAAGGTTGTGCGAAGGAATGAGCACGTTCAACGCCTGCCCCATCTCTTCATGGAACTTGCTCACACTATATAGGAAGACCATCACCTCACCTCTTGACGTCGCTTAACTCCTTGGGCAAAACTCGAGCACCTGAGACGAGTCCGCATTGACTACGGACGATGAAGATAGTCCGGTCCTACGCACTCCTGGCGGTTCCCACATACAAGGGCTCCACACTGCTTTCGATCTCGGGACGCAAGACATCGCACGCATAGTCAAGGCCACTATCTCCACCAACGACACACCGAGCTGCCATCAAGCCTTGCCCAAGAACGGTTATAGCGGCTTGTGTCAAGCTCCTTAGCCGCCAAGGCATGGCGAAAGGAAAACGCATGCGGGTCCACACTTCCGCTTGCACAACCGCATGCAGTAACATCGCCATAGCCTAAAGTGGATGACAAGCATGTACCACACCAAATCACCTCGGGTAGCACAGTTTGATCCAGCAGACAATGCGTTTCAGGTTCCACAGGAAAAGCAAGAGTACCTAAGTGCTGTGATTGCTTCCTTCACACGAATATAGCAAGAGTAGACAGAGTATACTAACATTTACTCAGGCATCTAGTGCTTACCTTACCCTACTGTAGTACCATACTCTGGAATACGAGAAGTAATCCGGTCTTACTCTCGTGCGGGTAGAGGCTCGAGCCGCGCTGTCGTAATGAGCTAGGCCCGAAATCCAGGTCCATCTGAGCCGCCCCCAGTACGTTCCACGACATTGGAATACGCAAGCCAAGACGAAGCTTTTTCCACGATTTCCAAGCAATTTGTTCCATCTTTGCGTCAAAAGTGGTAAACGATTGTGAACTTGGCCCTGTTGTGTTAGCGTCGCCAAGATGAAACAGTGGTGAAGGGCCAAGAGGTTCACGGCTTGGCTTAGCGCGCAATTCGAAACCTAAACGCCGTGTTGACCAACAGGAAGATGAGACGCGGTCCGCGTTGCGTGTCGCAGAAGGCTTGTCAAAAGCTTGTCTCGAGTTGGCGTTGCAGGTGTTGGGGCTAGCTGGCTAATGTTGCCTTGGGAAGGCGGCATCTATGCCTGATATGGTGTGTGACGTGCGGCGTATGATCCCGTTTGCTTAATGCCTCGCCAGTTCTTGCTAGCCTTGCACTCGCAACAGACAGACACAGCCGTCCATTGCTCACGACTGTCGCGGTTCGCACCTTCTTTCGCACTCCATCGTCTGGCACGAATTTACGTTCACATCGCTGGCCGAATAATACCTTCATCTTCCAAGATTCTTATTATCTTCACATCTATCGACCTGATCTCGAAACGAAACATTACAATGGAGAAGTACGTCGACTCAACTTCATCGGATGATCGAGCAGACTTCGAAGATGCCGCACTCCTCAACACAAACTACATCAAACAAGAGAGCCAACGGCGGCGAAACTACGTCTACATCACACTCGCCAACCTCTTCATCTTCACACTCTCAATGCTGTCCTTAATATGCGCCGTAATGTCCCAAAAAGACACATCCAGCTACTCCGCTGCAAAGCTCATGGACCAATTCGGCATCTTCTGTTCGTCCACCCTTCAAACTCCTCAACCCTTGTGCAATAAACACTAACATCTTCCAGCACCCGCCATGCATGAAGTCAGCTACTCGCGCGTAAAGTTTGAACTGCCCAACCCGCTCAACTCGTCAAAATACGTCGGCATTACCGACGACGTCGAGAACGCGTGGATGGACATCGCCTACCTGCCCGACCAAATGATCTCCGAGTCCGACTTCCCCAAACTCGCTAAACCCTCCACCGCCATGCGCGTCACTTCGCCCTCCGGCGAAACCGGCTACCGCGTGGGTCTCGAGGTATTCCACCAGCTGCACTGCCTGAACCTCCTGCGCATGTCCACATACCCGGACTACTACACGAAGCTGTGGTGGAGCGACACCAACGATGAGCCGGCCAAAGTGCGGGCGCATTTGGACCACTGCATTGAGATTCTGCGCATGAACCTGATGTGCATGGCGGATGTGAATGTTTTTACGTTTCAGCCCGTGGAGGGGAAGGACGGGTACTGGCCGGATTATGAGAGTGAACATGTTTGTAGGAATTTCGAACATGTCAAGGAGTGGGCGAATGCAAATGCCATGCCGGAGGCGGATGTTTAGAAGGGTAGTTGTCAGTTTTAATTTAATCATCGTTTGTGGAGACAGTGGCGAGCGCGAGTGAGCTATGTGGAGTCGATGAACACGATTGCTAATGATACTGATGACGACTATCAGTGTTTATTGAGCCATGCCAAATTTGTGTAAATCTTGTTTGTTCTCTACTTTCTCATTCAGTCTCAAGGTGTAACTTTGAGAAAAAGTCACATGTGTCAGCTGCTGCCATGAAAACGAAGTGAGGTCTATGCCTCATATCAACCTACTGTACTACATACCTATAATCATCTAAACCATCAACCCAAGTCTCGCGAGAAATGTATGCAAACCGAATTCGCGACCTTCCAGACGCCCTCGAATATTAAGGTAACCACTCCCACGTCACGAAACCACCCACAAACCCATGTGCAAATCATCATATTCCGTACCAAATTTCGACGTCACTTTGAACATGTCCGCCTACAGAACAAATTGCTCGTGACAATCTCAGAAGAACATTCCCAGAAAGTTGCGTGTCATCAACTCTCTCACACCAGAATCCGATTCCCAACAAGTCTGATTACCAACACCAAGTGCTCGCGACGACCTTGATACCACTAATCATACTGCCACTTCTCGGGTAGAATATCTACGGCCAACATGTCCATGTGTAAACCTCAAAATCGCAAGTGTCCTTCGGCTGTTCAGGCAGAACTAAAAAACAAAGAGGGAGCTAAATGGCACATACTCCTACAGCAGCATGTTTCACATTGGTCGCCTGCATGCACGTTGATTAAACATGTGACGAGAAGCAGGAACTTCTCTCGATGATGAATTTTTGAGATTTTCTCGTAAACGATGAGCGAGTTCCCGTATTTGTCGGGTAGAAACGCTGCGTTGAACATGTACGGTATATACATCGTATACTCGACGCGCCATCACGAATAATTCCGTATCCTTTTATCGCCCACATCATTCCAACTCTCCATCAATCTTGGTATGGTAGTTTGGAGTAATATCAAGTCCTGTAGTGCTCGAAGATACCTCATATACAAGCTCGGTTCCGGTACAACATACCACCACCCCATCTCTTTCGCACCGAAGCCAAGTGCAGTCTCTTGAAAAATCCTACCAGAGCATCTAGGCTTATCTTATCGATTCCACGTCTTACCTATAAAGTCCAACTTTTTCCAACTTCTCCAAAAATGGTGCTTTCTCGCTTCTACGACACTCAGTTAAACTACTAAAAATTGATAACAACCACACCACACCGAGTTTGACTCTTAGAATGCTGAGATCTTACATTGTTTATCATTCTCAAGCTTTAACAATCCCAGCGAGCCAGGAATAAAGTTCGAGATTGGTGGTTGGGTTCACGCAGCCATGTTGGCCATGCACCAGACACCATTGCACATCCAGCATTTCCCCATTCTTTCCCGAAATGCGAAGTAGTTCGGCTAGACTAGGAGGTACATATATGGAGATGACATGAGCCTTGCGCGTGCAATTGGATATTGCGAAAACTGGTTCACGATATACACAATACTACTTAAATTATAACCACAACTTTTCCCAGTCACTGCATGTGGCATACCTTTCTCTCTTTCTCTCTCTGTGCAAAGTTTTCCTCACCATCACCTTCTCTACACAGATCTTATAGCGAGATTAAAACACATGGTGAAGGCAATCATTTGTACATTTCTCCTACTCATACACACACACTAGTCTCCTCTTCCCACGCAATGCAACACAACACCCTTCATCCAACAGTACCCAAAACCCTCACACAATCCTACCCAGCATGCTCCACAATCTCGCTAACAACCTTGCCGTTCTTGATATAACTCCTTATCTGCTCAGGGATGGCATTCTCCACAGAATCATCCTCAGTCGGCACGTTGATGTTGACACTGGAGCACTTGCTCGTGAAGATTTCCGTGTTGAGCGATTCCTGCGACAGGAAGATTGTTGCGCCATCGACTTGGTCGAGCAGGATAGTCGGCAGCGTACCAATGACCTGGATGGCGAAGTTGGGGCACTTGATGACATCGACGGAGCTGACGAGGCTGTCGACAATGAGGCTGGTGCGAGAGCTGTTGTCGACGGAGATGGCGTTGGTCTTGCCGTGGATCTGGATGGTTGTGTTTTTGCAGCGCGAGATGAGAATGGTCTGGTTGAGCTCGGCGTCGATTTCTACGAGGGCGCTCTCGCTGTCGTAGTTTTCGATGATCCAGCGGTTGCCGTCCAGCTCCTTGCGCGGCGGCTTCTTAGTCCGCATGCTCTCGGGCTTGGGCTTCTTGCCGGGTGCAGGGCTCTTACCCCTGAGTGAGCCGTCGCTGTCGCTGCGTGTGGGCACTGGCGCAGTTGCGCGCAGCGAGGGGTTCTTGTGGGTCATCTGGCTGGCGTCGACCTTCTTGAGACCCCTCGTAACGTCGGAGCCCTTGTTGAGGTCGTCAAAGACGGCGTTCATGTCTGGCGCCGCCTTCTTTGCGACCGGGGCGGCACCTGGTGGCGGCGGTGGGCCTGGCGGCGGGGGAGGTCCAGGTGGTGGAGGGATGCCTCCCGCGGGCGGAGGCGGTGGTGGTGGGATCGCGGACGAGGATGAGCCGGAAGCGGAGGTCTCTTTGGCAGCTTCGCGCGCATCGATGCCGTTGGGGTTCCATGTGACACCGCTGGGGAAGTTCTTCTTCGCATACTCGGTCTGGGCTTCAAAGAGCTTGTAGTATGCGCGCACCCAGTCGACAAAAGTCCTGTTCTCTGGCCTGCTGCTTGTTAGCTGGGATTCGCCTGGCGGGTGTAGTGAGTGGATCATCATACTTGTCGCGGTACTCCTTAAGCACCTTGTTGCCGTACATCTGCGCGCCGCCGAAGAGCTCCTTGATGTACTCGTGGGGCTTCGCGCTGCTGCCGGGGATGGTGACCCAGCCGAGACAGCCCACGCCGTCAGCGACCATGGTCAGCGGGTCCTTCAGTGCCGCCTCGCGGTTCTGCAGCTTGAAGCCGTCCGTCTTCTCTATGCTGGCCTGCAGGTCCTTGAGCAGCTCCATGTGGGTGCGGTCATCGGGCTTCTTCGCCTTGCTGGCAATGAAGAGGTAGTGTCGCTGGGCTGCGAATGCCTGCTGCACTGCCTTGGCCTGGCCCTCGATGACCTCTCCGAGCATGCCGCTCAGCTCCAGCCACGTGTTCAGCTCCTTGTCGGCCATCTCGTCCCATGCCTCTATCACCCGCGGTACGCTTGGGGCTGGGGGTGTCGCTGCCGGTGTCGCATTCGTTGCGGTAGCCAACTTGGCTGCTGGGCCGGGACTTTGTGCACCACTGGCAGCGCCTGCAGGGCCGGGCTCTCCATTCGGGTAGGCAGAGCTGGCGATGTCTTCTAGCCGGCTCGTCGCAGCTTCGAGCCTGCGCACCATAGCTGTCAGCACATTGTCCGGAGCTTGGATCTGTCCATTGCGACCAAGAATGAGCGGCTGCTCTGGTTCGGTGGCCATATGTGCGGAAGACGATTGCAGGAAGAGTGGCTCGGGGAGGCGGAGATGGATGCAGGCTGTACTCACCGCTTTATGAGGGTTGTGAAACTATTCATGTTGTTCGCCATTTGCGGAGAAGGCACGGGGGACGGTGAGACAGGTTATGGCAGGTGGAATGGACAGCCGCTTGCAGCTTGCGCAAGAGTACTGTCTTAGGTGAGGTTAAGAATATGTATGTGAAGGCGAGATGTGAGTGCGACCCCGCAGGACAACTATGAGAGGAGGACAATTGGAGGTTTCAGGACAGTTGGGATGGAGAGCCCTGGAGGTGCCTGGCCGCACGGGAGCTTCCTCTGCCCTGTGGATCCCACGTTGCCGCTAGCTGCATGCCAAGCTCGAGCTCACCCTGCGCCAGTGACCGCATCCGCGACCATACTTCGTTAGCTGGCAAACGTCTCAATCGGATCTTGATCCACGACGTATTTCAAACGCGGCGGATCGAACAGCCGTAGGTTGAGATTGAGGCTCTCGATTACTCAAAACTAGGACGCATTTGAACCCAGCCTGGAATAATAATACCGACTGCGAGGACAATTACAACGTCATTTTGAACATGGCAGACGAAACTCCGATCGATTTCTGCACCTTGGGCATGTTCATTATCGGTGCGTTGATTATGCATCTTCGTTGACCCTGCCCATGCTCATCCCTATCAGACGAAATTGAATTCCCCCCACCAAAGCCGCCTGTCAAAGACATAGTCGGCGGTGCAGGAGCATATTCCGCTCTGGGTGCACGTCTGTTCTCTCCACCGCCCAAGTCGAAATCGGTGGGCTGGATTGTAGACTGCGGCTCCGACTTTCCGCCGGAGCTGCGCGACTTCATCGCGAAATGGCAGACAGGTGTTGTCATGAGAGAGACTCCGGACAGACTGACGACGCGAGGTTGGAATGGCTACGGCGCAAACGAACATCGAGGTAAGCATTGAGAATGGTAGGGCTCTGCTCCGGAGACATCAGCTGATGGCTGTAGCCTTCAAGTACATGACGCCAAAGCTTCGTCTCGACCATGAATCACTCGCCAACACTCCGTTGATCTGGTCGAAATCGTTCCACCTCATCTGCTCACCACTCAGGTGCATAGATCTGGTTGAGAACATTCTGAGATTGCGAAATGAGGCATCAGACGCAGCGTCGACTCCACGACCCCTGTTCATTTGGGAGCCTGTGCCTGATCTCTGCATTCCCGAGGAATACGAAAACTGTCTGAGAGCACTAAAACATGTTGACGTCGTCAGTCCGAATCATGGTGAGTTGGGTGGATTCTTTGGTGAAAACACGAATGGCACAGACAATGTCATCTTCCCCAAGATCGAGCAGCTATGTGATCAATGGATGCAGAGCGAAATTGGGCTAGATGGCAAGGGAGGTATTGTCGTCCGTTGTGGTAAGGATGGCTGCCTTGTGGTGCGACACGGAGTGCGCAACTGGATGCCTGCGTACCATCAGTCAGCAGAAAAGGTGATTGATCCGACGGGAGGTGGCAATGGCTTCCTAGGTGGATTAGCAGTCGGCTTGGTTCGTGCTGGGGATGCGCCAGGTATTGAGAATCTGGAGGAGGCTGCGGCTTGGGGGAGTATCTCGGCGAGCTTTGCGATCGAGCAAGTGGGTATGCCGATTTTGGCAAGTGACGGACAAGGAGAGACATGGAACGGGGTCAAAGTCGAAGATCGACTCGCAGAATATAAGAACAGGTCTCGATGAATATAATCGTGTTGTATTGTCGGCAAGACGTCAGTGAGCCTCCTCTTGCATCGTACGTTGTTTATCCTGATAGTGTCTTCTCTATAGCACTCTGCTTCTGGCTCCGCTCGTGATCGACAATTTGCTTGCTCCAGCTGCGTGGTGTTAGCTCCAGTGTCCCCTCTGACAGTTGAAGTGCTCCGTACTATCTGCTCGGAAAGAAGCGGCCTTGCTCAGGCATCTTGTCGCGATATTCCAGCCTTGCGCTGATCATCCAGGCCATTCCGACAATGCTGCCGAGGACGAGGCCCACGGCGGCCGTGTTGCCTTTCCAGTTGGCGGGTTGGGCATACCAACCTCCGGCCGGCGACCAGACGTGCTTGGGGTACCTGTGAAGGTCAGTCAGGTGACTGGCGAGACATTGAGCGGCTGCGCATACGGGACTTTTGGACCTCCACCCATGATTGCGTGCGGTTGTGTGGTTTCGAGGGGTGTCTGTCCGGCGAGTGCTTGACGTGAGGTTCACGATGTTGCGGAGCTGGAGGTTAGTGGCTTGGCAGAAAAGTTCGGGCAGTCGCGACTGGAGGGCAGGAACACACACGACCGCCTCCAATTGCTGCTGCTCCCGGCCCTGCCGTCTCGAATCCCGCTCCGACGTCTTCTCCCGTTTTCCTCTTTAATGAAGCGACTATCCGTGTCCAGATGCGCCTCGCAATTGCTGGCTAAACCATTGCCTCGCCGGCCGTCATGTCTTTATGCAGCCGCGAAGAATATCCAGCCGAACTTCACACCCCATAGCCACAGGATACAACCACGGTTCCAGAGCACAGCAGCAGCCGAAGATGGACTCGCAGAATTGGAGGCCGAGTCGCTAGAGCAAACGTCGCCATCAGAAACGCCAAAGACTCGGAAGAAGAAGCCCAGTCAACGGCCATCCGCACTCGCGAAATTGCCCTCACCACACCCCAGCGCCGCCCAATCCTCAATAAAGCTTCACGCCTTACGGAATCGACTATCGCTACCAGAACGATTTCCCCTGCAGGTCCTTGCCCGCACCCTCGTCCACCCCTCCGCAGACCCCAACCCTCAATTCAATAATGCCTCGCTCTCCATTCTCGGGCGGCAGCTGCTCGGATACTACACCTCCGAGTATATTCTATGCACATATCCGCGACTCCCAATGCAAGTCGTTTTCGCCGCAGTGGACGCATACATCGGCCCGAAAGCGCTAGCCATAGTAGCGAAGGAATGGGGCATCGAGGCAGCACACGAGCCTGGAGGCGAGGTGGACCCTGGATACTTGCAGTTCAAGCGGATACAGAGCGGAGATGCACTACCAGACGCGTTCACGAGGCAGGCACCATGGGCCTGGAACGTCACAACCACACACAAAATCACCAAGACAGACGAATTTGGCAGCGAAAATGCGCCACCAAGCCCACACGCCCTCGCAAACTCGCCCGTACCATCAGACGAAGCTGGACAATCCTTCGTCAGAGCACTCATCGGTGCTCTCCACATACACCTCGGATCGCCCCTCGTCAAGCGCTTTTTCCGCGACCACTTCCTCAGCCGACATCTTGACGTCAGCACTTTATTCGACTTCCGCCAACCCACCCGCGATCTCTCACGGCTGTGCGCACGAGAAGGCTTCGAACCGCCTGTTGCCCGTATAATCTCCGAAACCGGCCGATTGAGCAGACATCCCGTCTTCGTGGTGGGCGTATACAGCGGAACCGACAAGCTCGGAGAAGGAGCCGGCAGCTCCCTGGACGAAGCACGCGTACGCGCAGCCGCAGCCGCAATGAAGGCCTGGTACCTGTACAAACCCGTCGAGGTCACGGTGCCAAGCAGCACGGAGAGCGAGCTGGACGCGAGCAAGTGGCGGCCGAACATGATCGACTGTGGCGAGGTAATTGTGTAAGATATTCCGACGACTTCACCACACTCTGGCGTTTTACTTGGGGGTGGCATCGCGTTCTGCATAGATGGGGCAACGACGTCTTTGGGGTGGAGGGGATAAGAAGTGGCCGGAGCTACGGTCAAGCATGTTTATGAACGAGCTGCGCACGCTTGGAAGGCGGGCAATGTACCATATGTGACAACATGGAGATGCACACCAGCATCGGATTTGTGTAGAAATTTCACGACGAATGTTGCAATTCACTATTCATGTCTTGCACCATGTCGGTGAGAATCATGGAGCACCATTTGCACGTAGATTTGCAGACGTTAGATGTAGCAAGAATGTCCACGATATCTGATAACTTTACAGAAGAAACCGAGTTGAAAGATTCTTCTAATCGTACCAGAGACCTACAAAGGAAGCTACGAGGGAACTACAACTATAGAAACGGTGCTCTATCTACTGTGCGCTATACAAAAAACACCCTGGAGGTAGCGAGAGACACGAATTTCTCACATTGCCGCATACCTCACGTAACATCCATTGATGAAATTTCCTCCTCTTGCACTCGCGATCATCACTACCATGCTCGCTGGAATCGCTGGGAATGGGAGGGGTCGCCGCTAGAAGGGGGGTATCAAAGGTCCGACCCATGCAGAAGAACAGACGGAACCGAAATAAAACATGATCGTGATAGGTACGGATGGCCCCTTGTTGCTTTGCTTTGTTTACGTCATTGCGTGAGTGTTTCTTCCTTCTCTTACTGCGTGCGTAGTCGCGCTCGAACTTCTTTCCGAGCTGTCATGTTTCATAAACGTCTCTTGCTGCCGGCACTCTTCGTCACCGACCACCATGTCGAACATGTTTCGCCAAGTTTTACCTTCTGCGATCGTGTTTGACACTTGTCCTCGGGACATTCACCATCCCCCCGCCGGTTCAATGCGCCTCGACTGGCTCTGAAAATAGCCATCGAAGACGCTCAACTCCGGTTTGCGCGTGGGCTCCTGGCTGCCGTTCACCCCGAGATCGATCAGCGTCGTGTTTCCGCCGACTCCGAGCGATGCAGCAGCTTGGCCGCTGTAACCACCGCTGTCGAGGCTGCGCCTCCTGTTTCCGCCCATGGCTTTGCCGCCGTTGCCGATGGTCGCCATGATGAAGCTCATCTTTACGCGCTCTTTGGGGCGGGGGAGTAGCATCTTTTCGATGACGCTGAGCCACTCGGCTTCGGCCTTGAGTTGTCTTAGACGTCGGCCAGATCCAATCATGCCGTTTCGAAGGCCCGAGGTGGTGGTTGCGTGAAGGCGGTTTCGCCAGCTTCCGACGCGGTCGAGATGGGCGTGGAAAGATGAGTCTTGGGTCGAGCCTGCTCTATACTGAGTGAACATGGAGAGTGATTGGCCGGCTGCGACTGTCATCATGGATAGGAATACACAGCCCAGCGAGAAGACGTCGGCCATGCGCTTTCCACGTGAGACTATAGCTTCGGGCGCGGCATAGACGTATGCCTGGTCTTGGAAGTATGTCTGTAGCTGATCCAGGCGCTGGGACGTAGCCATTGTCGGGCTGAAGGTGTCGGCTGCCTGGCCAATGTCAAAGGGCGCGAGTAAGATTCGAGAGTCTTCTATGAGTATCTTGCGAGGTCGAATACTGCGATGGCAGATCGACTGAGTATGGAGGTACTCCACTGCTGATGCAAGATCGTACATCCAGTCCACCAACTGCTTCGGGCGACTAGAATCATTACTCGCCAAAGACAAATAGTCGTCTAGATTGTACTGCGCTTTCTCCGTGATGATGCCCACATGGCTCGGCTGCGCGTATGAGCAGAGTAATTTCGCAATGTTCTTGTGTTCGTATTGCTTGAACTTGTTGACTTGTTCCAGGATCGCTGCCTTCTGGGAAGGACGAGCCGTCACGAACCGCTTCCTGACAAAGACACGGTCCTCGTTGTTTCCATACATTCGGACCTTGTCGACGCTCTTTTCAGAGTTTCTGGATTGTCTTATAAGACCAATGTGCTGTAGCGGGACTGTCTCGCGAGCAGTTAGATCAACATGTACTCCGGTTAGCGGCACCTCTTTCGAGGTTGCTCGCCATTGCTCTTCCACAACTCTCCGGGCATTGGTCACGATGCCTTGCAAGCGGTCCTCTGGAAATGGCAAACTCTCGTCTCTCAGGTCAAAGAACGCCGCCTGTCGCCACGACGCAACGTCATCACATACAAAAAGCAGGATCGCAAGCCTTGGGTTAGATAGTGTCCACTGCCATATCTTCTTGACAAGCACTGCTTCCCAAGCTTGTTTGCGACAGAGCTCATAGAACCAACCAGATAGCGACTGGCCTTGGGATGAAAGCACAGATGTGTTGATAAATCCATTCACCAATGGCGTCAAAGGCACAACAGGCTGTCGATAAGGATTCGGTGAAACAGGTGCCGTTGGGTAGTCCTGACCTCTGTACGAATCTCCAGACGAAGGAGGGGGCGACATGGGCACGAATCCTGCTACTGGGTTGATAATCCTAATTGGCTGTGGGGCATGGGGAGGTGTGGGTGTTGTCGATCGACTTGTGTACTGCGGGGTACGACTCGGGCTGTCTTTTGGGGATGAACTGGCCGACTTGTTGGAGTACGTGGAGGCGGGACTCGACATGACGTTAGACCATGGATTATTGTTTGTTGCGGTTGGCGTTGAAGTTCGGCTGGTGCTAGAAGAAACAGATGACGCCGTAGGGGACGAAGGTCCACGATTTGTATACCATGTCGCATCGTCGTGCAAGTTCACCATAGAGATGGTGTGCTGAAGACTGTATTGAGGCTTCGGATAGTCTCCCGCTGGCTTGCGCCATGGAGAGTTTGAGTTATGCTGCATCGCTGCAAGAATTTCAAGTCGCTCTATAAATCGACTAAAGCGTAGCTAGCGAGTAGCACTGTAGCGGGTGCTAGGTGTGGGATACCAGTCGAAGATGGGATGGTTGCAGCAACTAGGAATTTAGGACCGGGAGAGTCCAAATACAGATGCAAAAAGCAAGACAATCATTTCAGCGTAACAGAGCGAGAAACGTGAGAGACGAAATACTGGAGAAGAGCTGGGACCGGGAGCCCCAGTCTTCAGAGAAGTACAGCGTGCTTACCTGGCAGAGGCGACTCGCCCAGATAGTAGGCTGACGGGGCAGGACAAGGCTTCTCCAGCGAAACAGCGGAGGCTTTTTGATGTGCTGGCAATATTTACCTGCATTCCCCAGCGCGTTAGTAGAGGGTGACAATATAGGGCCTCAAGATGTGTGTTGGGCGAATGCACACTGGGCACGAGCGTACCCTTGCGGTTTAGTCGCATGCAGGCGAACGTGGCCATCTAAGAGTCGCCTCTTAGTTCAAGGCGCTGCTTGTGCATATGTTCGCAGCCAGACAACGCCGTATGGTGCCAGATCACCAGAAAATCTATATGGCGCGCGAGCCGTTCCGAAAGCAACAATCCCGTCGAAGCAGCAGCGTTAGTAGCGGTGCGAGACGCTGTGGAGCTGACGCAGGACCAGAAGAGATGCGTCCAAAGCAGACATTCAGGACGTCCTCCTGTATGAAATCTGACCGTCACCATAGGATCTGCCGCGGCATTAGTGACCACCGATTTATGTCTTGCGCCGGGCCGTGGGTGTGCAAGGCACGATGATTTTGTGTCACCTGCTCACCGTTTCTTCCGGGCGGTTAGAGTGTGGACACAACATCCACATCGCGTCAGATCTGGACACTCGCTCAATGATGCCTTCGACGCTTGTGAGGCCGTGAATTGCAATGCCGATTTCCAGACTGACGGATGCTCGTCTGTTGCTGAGCCGCACACAACCTTGCTGCTTCCCGTCGATGATGACAAACCTCGCGGTATGGATCAACATGTCGCCGTCTTTGTGGCGTCGAAGGTTTCCTCGTTTGTACAGGCGCCTTGGTGTCATATCATCTGAAAACCTCCATTTGCTCGGCCGTTGCTCGCACGTCCGGTGACAGCGATACGCCTTGGGCCAGTCGGGCATCGCACTTTGGATGACAGCGGGCACTTGCCTTGAAAAGTGCCTTAGCAGCTCCACATCTCGTAAGGAAGACTCGAGGCATTGACAGGCACTCCGGAAATTTTGCGATGGGGAGTTCGCCATGGCAGGAGAGGCTCAAGCGGGACAGGGAGGATGAGACGGGGATGCAACTGCGCGTCGGTAAGCGACGGCAGGGGCGCGTCTGATTGGCCCCAGCCCCCGTCTCACGTGCTACCCTGGAAGCGCCCCTAACAGCAGCCGTCTCGGCTGTACTCCTCGAACTTGCTCCCTCAACACCAATTGTCTCAAGGAGCTCTGCTACCTTCATGCGACACCGCCTACGCTACCAATATGATCGACCTCTAGCCACAGCTTGGTTGGCCAGCACGGCTTGCGGCTCAATATTACTAAATTAAGCTAGATGGTAACCGCTATGGGATGAACGCATAGAAGTGTCCCGTGTTCTCCGTCGCAGCTTCAATCAGAACCGGTCTCAACTCTGTCATGGCAGCTCGCTCGAGGCTTGGTGCTTCTTTGACGGTGTGATCAGTGTGCCCAGCTCACGCCATTCCGAGCCTACCGTAGTCCCACCACGGAACCACGCCTGGTTTCTCTATCTACCGTGTTTCTCCACAGGCCTGTCAGAATTTTAGTCGTACGACGGCCTAGTGTACCCTCCTAATGACTCCCATGTAGATCCGGTTTCTTTAGGGTCTCTTGTCTTTCGTTACCTCGTCCTTCGAACCGTCGCCGTTCACCACTCTCCTTCTAGCAAGCTGCTGTGCAGCCACGCAGCCTTCCCACTATCCCTTTAATAACGCAGGTCGACACTAATACAAAATGTTCTTCAGAACTGCCTTGATCGGTGGACTACTTGCTGCCGGACACGCAACCGCCATCAAGCTTCGGGATGTCAACACTCTTCTTCAACGGAACAAAGATGTGGAAAGGGGCCTGCTGGGAGACGCCGAGCGCATCGCAAGTCTTACCCGACGACAAGACCCGAGTCCAGCCGACACCGCGCCTTTGTCATCGATATCGCCAGCATCTGGAGACGCATCCGGCGCGGATCTAGCGAGATGGGAGGAGGAGACGAAGAAAGCATGCATGGATACGCTCAGCAATCTCAATGGACAAGCATCGAATCCAAGTGGCATTGTCGTCTGCTACAACCTTCCGTTCCTCGACAACTCAACAGGTGTCTTCCAGGCTGAGCTACGCATGTACAATGTGTCTGCTCCCATCGATCCTTGGCTTGGTGTCACCGCTGCCGATGTCAGCATGACACTTTCCTACCTCGGCGCCACCGTGCAAAACATGGCCGGTAACTTCTCGAAACGCGACATTGGCTACCCACCGGTGCGAAGGGAAGTCAGTGATGGATTGTTGGTCGAGAGGCAGAACATCAACACCATGACGGAATTGAAGGTGCTTATGTATGTTGGCCGGGTCAACAGCAACTTGATGGGTTCCGCGATGAACGTGTAAGCATATCTCTATCGTGATCTCAATTCTCATCATAACTAATACCTCATCAGGGAGTCCCTCAAGCCGCTCCTAATTCCCCAAATCGATCTCGCAGCGCGTAACCCCGTCACTGGCCGAGACGTCGAGACGACCCTTTCATCTGGAGACGCATCTTTTGTTAACGGTGTATTCTCAACCTCAGCCAACGGCCCAACCAATGTCGACCCCAACGCAGCCGCGGCCGCCTCGTCAGCCGTCCAGTCCGCTGCGCCCTTCGTCGTACCAGGACAGTCCATTGAAATCTCTCCCATTGGTGTAACAATCACCACCATCTGGGCTGGTCTATTTTTCCTCGTAGTTGGCGGAGGAACATACGGCCGCATCCAATTCCGTGAGCAGTACCGAAGACGTGTAAGGACAGAGGCGGCCCGTGGTGTGCGCACCATCTAATATTTGCAATCTAAGTTTGTGTCAATATCGTTATTCAATAAGCGCTGCTTTTGCCTGTCTGAGAAAATGAATCTACACGAAGAGTACTTTCGCTTTCGGGATACCCCCCTTCTCTTTTTTATTCTACTACATATTGTACATAATTCACACCCACATCTTGTCATCCAGGCGATGGAGATGAGTCTTTTCTGGTCCGTAAAGTGAGAAGTTAGGAAGATTAGTGTACGTACAAAAACAAAGAAAAATCAAGAATGCAAGTCAGAGAACATTGGTACGCTTGCAAATGCCGTGACTATGGTGACTAATAACTCTGGTGGAGCCGGCGCCGGCTGTAGCCGTATTTCTGCGCGTCTGGTTGGCTCCAGTATGACTGAACACCACGCCCTATCTCTCACATGCGTAATCATGTCCACTGGAATCGCTTGGGACGACTCATAGCCTGAGGCTGGCGTTTGAGTCATTCATCAATTGGGAGTATATGAAGAGGGTTCTAGCATCTGCTGTATTTCAATTCTTGTTATAGACAATTTTCCAATCATGACATCGATTTCTGCTCTGGACGTCCGAACGAAGGATGGAGTCAAGTTTGGAAAGGAGTTGAGGGAGAAGGAATTCTTGTTCCAGAAGGGTTATCTGAACTTGAATCATGGTAAGCCGGCCTCCTTTCCTTTATTTTCATAAAGCCATTGGTCAGGACTCTCCACCCTTTGCAATTATACACTGCGGTGTTCAGCCGTCCAAGCTTCAAGGAAGTCGGGCTCTTCACCGAAATTCACCATCTCTTAACATCAGAAACACACCTCTAACATCCCAGGTTCCTTCGGCACTTACCCCAAAGCCGTTCGCGATCAACTCCGTCATTTCCAAGATGAAGTCGAAGCGCGCCCCGACTCCTTCATCCGCTACGAATACCCCAAACTTATCAATGAGTCTCGCGAAGCAGTGACTAAAGTGCGAACCCTCGTTCTAAATCTACTTGCACCAACACTCATCATACTCCAGGTCCTCAACGCCCCTTCAGACACCGTGGTCTTCGTACCCAATGCCACAACTGGTATCAATACGGTCTTGCGCAACTTAGACTTCCAGCCCGGTGACCACATCCTCTACTTCGCAACCATATATGGCGCATGCGAGAAGACGGTGGCGTATATCACCGAAACCACGCCAGCCAAGTCTGTCAAGATAACCTACGCGTACCCCGTGGAAGATGACTGGCTCGTTGCAGAGTTCAGATCGAAAGTTGCTGACGTCGAGAAAACCGGCGGGAAAGTGAAAATCGCAATCTTCGACACGATCGTCAGCATGCCCGGTGTCAGGGTGCCATTTGAGCGGCTGACAGCCGCGTGTAAAGAGTTGGGTGTATTGAGCTGCATCGATGGCGCGCATGGGGTCGGACACATCAAGCTAGATCTGGAGAAGCTGGACCCAGACTTCTTCGTTAGTAATTGCCACAAGTAGGTATTACTCACTTTTTCCCTATCTCTGATTAAGTGCTGATCAGAGGTGGTTCAGATGGCTCCACGTCCCCCGCGGCAACGCCATCTTCTACGTGCCTGTGCGCAATCAGCACCTCATACGCAGCACACTGCCCACGTCTCACGGTTTCGCGCCACGAAACTCGACCATCGGTTCGCCGTTTCCAAAATCGGGTTTCCCAAATACTTCGCAGAATGCACATGTTGCAAACTTCGAGTTCGTCGGCACGATTGACAACGCGCCATATCTCTGCGTCCCTGCGGCACTCGCGTGGCGCGAAAAGCTGGGTGGCGAGGACGTGATTATGAAGTACTGCCAGACGCTGGCGCGAGAGGGAGCTAAGCTTGTCGCGAAAGAATTGGGCACGGAAGTTATGGAAAACAAGACAGGGACGCTGGGAGCAGATTGCTGTCTCGCAAACATTCGCTTGCCGATTGCTGTGGCAAAAGCGAAAGAATATGCGGCAGCAGCAGGTATCGAGGAAGCTGATGTCGGCGGCGAAGTCAGGGATTGGATGCACAAGACTTCCCTCGATGACCATGGGACATTTCTCCAGACCATGTTCCATGGAGGCGCTTGGTGGGCCCGACTGAGCGGCCAAGTGTACCTCGAGATGGCGGATATGGCATGGGCCGCTGAGACGCTGAAGAAGATAATTGTCAGGGTAGAAGCTGGTGAGTGGGCTGGCGTGGATAAGGCAAGTAATTTGTAAGACGGAGAGTCAAGATTCATTATCCATTCGTAGTATGACCATCCAGCCTTCCAGAATTATCTCGAATATTCCCGGTATCTCTCCGAAGGTCTCTCGAGATGCTTCAGCATTAAGTGTGAGCTAATGTGTGAATCGCGCCTTTACTGTCAACGAGACCTCGAGGACTGGCCCTAGGGCGCACAGTCATGATTTCCGCAGCCCTTGTGGTAACACGAGTTGTCAGGACATTTTCCGAGCTCGTCACCGCATCTACGGCACTGTCACATATCAGCTCTAGGAGACCATATGCGGGATACATATCCACTCACCTCGGGGTTCTGGAAGCAGACATGCTCGGCACAGATCTGGGCCTCCTTGTCGATACCAGGAACCACTCCATTCTGTCGTATCGTTAGCAAATATGAAGTGTTTGTTGTATTTGCACTTACGTCAAGGCAGTACTGGTAGTGGTTCTTGCACAGGTCGCAGCTGATGTCCGCAGCGGCGAGGGCGGTGAGAGCCAGAAGAGTAGCAATGATGAGCTTCATGTTGTTGTCTTGCCGTGTGGGTAGCGATTTGTGAGGGTAATCAACAGTAGTTATGACAAGTGGAAGTCGGAGGGTGATAGTTGTAAATGGAGAGTCGCTGTATACCAGAAAGTAAGTGTATGTCAAGCGGGGTGGCGGCAGTGCGCAGTCGTCAAAGTTGTCTTTGAGGCTAGCGCGCAAACGGGAATCGGTTGTCGGGGTCCAAGTGAAGTGGAAGCTCGTGACCTGGGAAATTTGTAGTTCGCGCGCGTACGACGACACTGGCGATTGAACACTCGACAAGTCCAAGCATGCGCCAGTATCACCCCCTACATTCAAGGGCTTCCAACGTCAACTAGCGTTTGCGCCTCTGGCATGATTGGATTGGCCTGGAAAAGCATGATCAAATATGCTGGTGCTAATTTAATTGAACGACTGATTGGAGCAGTTGGTTGTACGAGAGCAGATTGAAAGAGTTGGACCTGTTACGCTAGCGCTCGTGTGACGTTCTCAGTGCTCAGCTTCCATTGGCTCTTCATCCTCTTCAAACACTTCGAAGCAGGGAAACTAAAGGCATTGAGTATACTCTTTTTGGAAGCTACGAGGAGTCCCAGGAAGCGCTCGGATTTTCGGTATTCGCTCTCTTTGACGTAGGCGATTATCGGGTCAAATATTTCGAGTGGTAGCATCTCCATAGTGATTAGAGTGACGTAGGTGTGTTATGAGAGACCATGTCTACATATTCAATTCAATTCATACCCGAGAAGCCCTCTCACTTCATAGTCAACTCGATGTGCGTGATTGTCACTCATCAGACTTCAACATAAACAGGGTGCTGAATATTCCCACGCCGAATCGGGGACCGTAAACAACGAACCTGAAGCTGCAACCAGGAGGTACACATGACATCTTGGAGTGTGTCTGATGCGTAGATAGTACCCTGTAGTACCTCACAACGCCTCAATCATACGCAGTAGATGCCTCCATACATTTGCGCTGGTCTCCGGGATAATATTTCGCTCAGTCCAATGCTGTTGCGCACGGTTATATTTGAGTCTAGCATGCGTCATATGGTAACGTGTGTGACAATATGTGAATACTGTCCCTTCATCAGCAGACTTGACACATACATTCACATGCCCCCACCACCACAAACGCAGTCACACAATAGGACATATACCACGCGTTGAAGTCTTTTACCTGCCTATACTCGTAAGAATCCGCGCCCACACTATCCCTGGTACTGAATATGGAGTCCAAGAATTTCTCGATTGAGTCTTCATAAATCTCGTTGAACAGGACTTTCCCGATACCGCACGATTTGCGATCCTGAATGCGAGTACGCGTCAAGCTATCCTGAACTTCCGCCTCGTACAGCGCCGTTAGAATGGTTCTGCCAGGCTCAAACAGCGCTTTATGTGGGCTCTGGAAGAGACCCCGTTTGTCTGGCATAACCACCGCATTCCCAAGCTGGAAGCCATTGGTCAAACGAAATGGGGTAACAGAATGCAAGCCTTATCACTTTACGGCATGGAATTGGGACTAGTACCACTGGGCACCAGTGCAAGATGCGGAGCTGACCGAGACGAAATGGACAAGGAAACTTCCTTTGTGCGCTACCTCACACACCTGCTGCGAGGTGTCAGCTGGGTAGAGAGGATTATATACTAGCCTATTTCACCCAAGTTCCTGGATGGAACGTGGCCCAATTGGACAGTATCTTCCTTGGACGATCGCCTTGAAAGTGGTGGATATCCTCTTCAAAAAGGCGAGCATTCTTGGTTAGGTGTACGGGAGGAGAACGACTGAATCTTCCCTCGTATTTTCGAAGCGATAGAGGAAGCGCATCTGTGGCTGAAAAGCTTTGAGATGCCATTGTTCGGCAATCGTGCGCCTTACTGTGCGGTGGATACTACGCTGCGCCCATTCTTTGGCTTCAAACTTCTCACACGCGTATCGCTGTCAATCACAAAGCTAGGTAGAGGATGGTTGCATGTGCCCTGGCTCGCGTGCTCGGAAAGCTTGGAATATCTGGATGTATCACTCTCGTTCTGCCCTGAGATGCTGTTCGATCCCGACTTCGAAGATGGCTTCATACCGCCATCACGCCATTACGATCTCATATATAGGTGTGATGCTACGCGGAATTATCATCTGCGTCTTCTCAAGATAAATATACATCATACAAGAATAGTTTCCGCCTTGCCGTCGCTGCCATATCTACAACCGTCAGCACGCCGAATCTCACCCCCATCCCTCCAATCTCACATACCTAACTCGACATCCAAGCACTAACAAATGGAATAACCGCCGCCGCCCCAAAATGCGGCAACGCTGCCCCAACACCCGCATACTTGAACGTCACCAACCCATCCACCACACCATCAAGCGCCAGCATACTCGCCATTGTCGCGACAGCCCTCAGATCTCGGCGCTGCAAGAAAATCCCCGCAATGATTCCAAACGTCAGATTGCGCCCGCCCATGCACTGCACGAAGCCCGCTGCGAATGTATCGTCTTCGACGGGCATGCCGAAGAGTGCGGCCATGGTGGTGGGACTTAGAAGCATGAGGAGGCCGGTGCTGAGAAGGAATGCGGTTACGCCGTAATTGGCGAGGATTTTGAGGGATGACATTTCGGGGGTGATGGGTGGTTAATCGTTATGAGGACAAGATTAGAATATGCGGAGGAAGTGTTGTCAGATGTAGTTGTGGTGGTAGTTCATTTGTACTTACGTCATTGATCCTATGGTACCACCCGCGCGGTTCGGCAACAATTCGTACATCCTTGCGGTTCTTTTTTTTTGCTCGCTGGGGGTTTCATTCGGGTTCTTTCACATGATACTTTTCACCCAGGTCTTTTTCACCTAGCTTTTGCAGAACCCGACCTTTTGCGAAGAATTGAGTAGTTGAGAATTGTCTGTCGTAATGCCAATCATCTGAGAGATCATCGATGATAATGTGCAGGTGTCTGAAACTGAAATTGAGAAGTAGATGAACCATGCTGTACGCATCACCGTCAAAGATTCCCACAGACCCACAAACGCGGATATCCCTAACACTTTCGATGAAAAGACCCTTAGGATTAAGGTAAGGTAGATGAATGTGCAGCGTAGAGAAGCGGAGCAATATGCCGAGTCCGAAGAATTTGAGACGTGATGCTGGAAGGAGTTGTATAGCTATGACTATTCGGGGTATCTTAAGAATGAACGCCTAGGTGAAAGTGATACTCGATCCTCCTCATCGCTTCCGTGTGCGCTTGGGTGGCTGTTTCGGCGCCCGGCTGCGATTTGTTCGTCTTGTCGTTGGCGCACTATCCTCTTCTGACTCCGCATTTGATTCCTCCTCCTCTTCCTCTTCCTCCTCGTCTTCGGCAGACTCAGACACTGTCGATTGAGCCTTGCTATTCCTCGTAGCACTAGTACCCGATTTAGTACCCTTTGCACTCTTCACGGTTGCCCTGCTCGCTCGTGTCGTCTTCGCATTCTTCGGTGTAGGTGTCGCCTCTGCAGGTGTCTCGGCCTTCTGAGAGCGTGCGCTGCCTGGCCGGTCTTTCAGCAGACCGACGCCGGGATGGTACATTGTCTTGTCATCCTCGATGGACGTAACGGCAGGTGAGGAGGCTGCAGCAGAATCTTCGCGATGGAAGCGCTTCTGCCACATGAGTTCGCCAAACTCGTCTTCTGGGAGCTCGAAGTCGGGTATGTTAACCGCCTCGTCGGGGTCGTCGGGGTCTGGGTCCTCTGAAAAAGCATACTGGTTCTCACGCTCGTCGAGGGCATCCAGCTCGTACAATTGGTTCAACTTCTTCCAGATGCCGGGTATGCGCGTGTGTGGCGCGTCCTCCGTCACGAAGCCATGTGAACGCATGTCATTGTGTATGCTAATCATGCGAAAGTGCTTGTGGAGACCTAAAATCAGTCAGTTGAGGTTCATTTCAATGCGCGGATGCGGGATTATACCTGTTGGTTTCCACTTCATCATGCTCTTGAAGAGCTGTGTTTCCTGCTCGTCGGCCCATGGTTCGTTCAACAGCTCATCTTGCGACTGTGTTGGCCCCGAAGCTTGTGGCGTTTGTGGCTGAGTGTCTCCAAGTGGCGTGGAAGCTGCGCTAGCTTTCGCTTTCTTTCGCGGAGGCATTATGGATGGCAAATGATGTGAATTGGCGGAGTGAAGAGTGATACGAGCAAGGCTCGAACGCGCTGCAGGAAGTCGCGACGGCGCGCCAGGGTCCGCGTAGGGCTGAGCCGAAAGTTTGGCGTCATACCCCACCACGACTCCCCACCCCACGCCTCCACGATGATGGATGGTGAAGCATTCGTAGATGATGTCTTCTCTAGTGACCAGCTGTGGAAGCAGTCTACACTATTTGCTGACTCAGCTCTACATGAGTCGGCACTATTCGCGCCACTACAGCTAGACAGTGAGTTCGTCGCGTGTATGCATCTTCAACGCGTCACCACCACTGACCATAAACAGTCGCTTCAATCAAATTTGACCACCCGTACGCGCCCAAGCATGAACTGGATCGCGAATTGCGACTGCCCGATCTCGACACGTTCGAATTTGGCCCTCTTCCGGAGCTCGATAACCTCGATGCATCCTCTATATCGTTAGAATCGCCATGCATAGAACCAGAGGAGGACATATGGCAGGTCGCACTTGAACTAGGGCCTGCGAACAAGGATGTTTTATTCCATACATGGGAAGGATTTCAAAACTCCCAGCATGTCGAGAGGCGCACAGCGTACATCACAGAATCTGGCCCAGAGGTCTTCGATGCCGCGCTGCAGGCAGATGATACCAAACTTAGCGCAGGACGAGTCCTCAAAGGTCATGTGTTCTTGCAATCACTGTGGAATTTGGGCCTTGGGCGTTCCTCTATCTTGTTCGATTTCAACACCAAGCTCAAATCCTTCGAGCCAACCGTGCCTCAAGGGAGGACATCTGGTCTTAGCCCTGTTGCCGCGCAGAGCTTGGTAACTCGATTCATACACACTGGCAACACATTCCTGTACCTACGGTCTTTTGCTGCCAAAACTTTTGCGTCCGCAACGTCTATCCCAGCAAGGGTTGCACTGGCTACCACAGTCTCGAGCGTTCTTTACACTTTAGAGGAGCAATTGGGCAAATATTCCAGCAAGATTAGGTCTCTCATTCAGCTGCAACATCAGTTCTCAAAGCCTCGCGAGGTTCTGTTACATGTCGCACGCATGGTAGATGCAACCCAGCACGCAAAGACCAACGAGCAATTAGCATCCATCTTACACCACCGTTTACTGGAGCTCGAAGACGGTGATACAGACATTCGACAGCTGTCCAGTCGCATAATGTGTGAAGTGGCTAAGCCCAGCCTTGAGCTCTTGGCCGAATGGATTGGCACGATGAAAGAGCAGGAGACGATACCCGTTACATCCAGAGATAGTTTTGTTACCCTTGAGCCCAACCCGCTGAACGAGGACCAGCCTGAGTACGTATACCGGTCAGAGATGATGCCCAGGTTCATCTTGCCGGAGGATGGCAACATGGCCTTCGAAACAGGACAAAGTCTTCGCTTTCTCAAGACACAACATCCCGGACATCCATTGGTCAGGCTACACGATGCTGAAATCTCACCTCCGAAGTTCCAGTGGGCGTTTGGCTGGCAGGACATTGAAGCGATCTCAAACAAAGCAAAGCAGTATGAGCATCGACTTCGAACGTCTTTGTTGGCGTACAGCAGTGGTTCGGCAGTCAACAACCTGCCAGTGCGTAGTCGCAAAGAGGATCAAGCGCTGACTGAAGAACGACAAACCGGTGATCTGGAAACGTACTTCGAGCAATCTATCCGAGAACTAGATGCACCACCACAACATCTTACAAGTTCATTGCCGGACGAAGTACAGCTTGTGATGGAAGATCTACTCAATGGAGGGGAGCCTCGATCATATGGCGGATTCTCCCCTCCATTATCCTTAACATCTTCGCTTTCATTCCGGCCGTTGATTGTTGCGCAAGCAAAACTTGTCAATGCGGCAACACTTCGATTATTCTTCCGGTCGCATCAGTTACGCCATCACCTCACACTACAGCGCCAGTATCACCTGATCGGTGACGGTGTGTTTTCGTCACTGCTTGCCACAGCACTGTTTGACCCCGAGCGAGAAAGTGCAGAACGTCACAAGGGTCAAATGCGTAGTGGTGTGCATATGGGCTTACAACTGGGTTCACGCACGTCATGGCCACCTGCAAGCTCAGAACTTCGCCTAGCTCTTCGTGGTGTCTTGAGCGAAAGCTACTACTCTTCTTCGCTGTATCAGTCTCTGCTGAAGACTGGCGAGGTAGCCCAGGCCAACACAACCATAAGCGGCAGGGATAATGACGAGCTCCCAGGTCAGCTCAATTTCGCCATCCGAAATCTTACCGAAGCAGAGCAGGAAAAGGTCATGGATCCTGACGCACTATCCGCACTTGACTTCCTCCGCCTCCAATACGTTCCACCCACACCACTCAACCTCATCATTACCACCGAAGCTCTGGACAAGTACGATCTCGTGTTCAAGTTCTTACTGCGACTATTGCGCATGCTTTTCGTAATCTCACATCTCCCACATCGCTTCAACGACCTCGAATCGCGCCAGTTGAAACTGGAAGCGCATCACTTTGTCACCATGTTCGCCGGCTATGTGTTCCAGAGCGGCATCGCCGGTCACTGGCAAGAGTTCGATAGCTTCGTCTCCACCCTCGAAACACGCATCAACGAAGAGGACGCAGCCGGCGAATACGGCACACGCGTGACAGAAGGCATCGCATCCCTACGAGACGCGCACGACAAATGCCTTGACACAATCATGTTCTCGCTCTTTCTGCGCAGACGCCAGCGCAAAATTTTAGCGCTCGTCGATGAAATATTCGACCACATCTTGCTATTTGCGAAGATGCAGCAGCCAGGTGCGAAAGTCGATGAGACTGTCAAAGAAGTGTACGACAAGCTGAGAGGGAAGATTCGGGTGTTTTTAAGTGTGTGTAGAAGTTTGACGGGGAAGAAAGGATATGGAAGTGGGAACGGAACGGCGGAAGAGAATTTGATGGAGAGATTGGTGCTCGGTATGGAAATGAATGCGTATTTTGCGGGGGCTTGAAGGAGGTCATCGTCTGCAGATATGCAGGCTGTACTAGCGCTTGCATGTACGCGCAGGACCCGCGAGGAAGCGTAACCGAAATAATAACCAGCTTGATTGGTGATGCGTCAGCATCTTTTCAGTAGCCTTGTGCTGTGGCAATGCGCTCTTCAACATGTAAGTGGCTTCAGGCTCCTGCCACATGACTGAACTTTCTCTGCTACTTAGTGTGCACTTCTTTTCTTTCGTATCCGTCATTCTCTATACGCGCAAAGCGAGGCTTCTATACTCACTGTCTGGCCCGTCCCAACATTTGATATAGGCAGAAAGGGTATTCTCGGCAGCACTTTGGTAAGCTGTCATGTCGTTCGGTCGCCTCCAGGCTGCTCTCACGGCAGCCACCAGCGAAGTCACTTTGGCCGCGGCAAACATCAATTTCGATTTCACTCTCGTCAAAATCGAAGCTCCACAAGAGTACACGCAACTAGGATCTCTGCTCCCCACTGCGAAGAAATCAGAGGCAGAATCGGGATCCACTCATGTGACTGCTCGTCGACTCGGTACCTTATTTGATGGCGTCTGTCCGCATACACCGAATCTCATCAAGGCTTACGGCACTCGTGTCTCGGAGATATCTACGATCGCAAACGATCAAATTTCGTCACATTATAAGGATTCCATTTTCGGAGCACACTCAGGCGTTGATGGAACTACGATATGGGCAGCCGCCACGTCGTCAAATGCTTCCTTACATGTGCATCTTCTTGCGTGTATGCTCGCTCGAATATTCGAGGCTAGCGAAGCGGTATCAATCTGGGTCGAACTGGAGAAGGAACGGAGATTGGATATTGCGGGCAGGTTCGACCGTGGCGAGAATGTGCAATTTTCTCTCGCGTCAGCAGCCGCTCAAAACCCGATATCGAAGCAACAACTCGCCGACTGGGACTCCAGTGCTCGCGCTTGGCTACGTACTGCAGATGAAGTGAAACGGAATGAGTCTCGGCAGTTGCACACCTTGCTCAAAGATCTCAATCTCGCTGTCAACGAGCAGACTAAGGTATATCCGAGTGTGATCGAAGCCTGGAAGAATGCGCTCAACATGATGGAAGATCTTGTCTGCGGCAGACCTCAAGCGGTTCAGGATGGATCGGTCATTCTTGGCCTATCTGCGTGGCATCTCTATCCCCCTCTCGTAGTATTTGGCGGACAAAATTTTCGCGTCAATATGGACGACCGACTAGTAAAACCAGGCGGGGAGCTCAGTATCGGCCTTTCCTCTTCTATCAAAACAAAAGACACGTTGGTGTACTGGTGCCTGTCTCTAGCCCATTTACGTCACTACGGTAAGCCCGTCAGAACAGAAGGTAGGATACAGGAAGACCCTACAAGATGCTCATTTCAGGAGTTCATGTATGGGGTCATCGGCGCGATTACCAACAGATGGCAGATTCCTTCCCAGGATACGCTGTCCACTATGAAGTTCTTCGCCTTGGTTCACATGAGCTTCGATGAAGCAAATGCGGTTGCGGGCCGTTACGAATGGGTGGCTCTACTGGGAAGAACTGCAAAGGATTACCTAGGAGCAAGTGAAGTGGACGCAGCGGGAGCTGAGCGAATTTTCCAACTCGGAAGGCGTCGATCGGAATTATTCATCGGACCAATTCAATTCGAAGCAGGCCACAACCGAAAACAGGATGGCGGATACATCACCGGTGATCCTCGATATCTTGGGCTTCTTGATGCCAACGTCCTCACAGGTGTTACAGGCCTCGAGGTTGAGTCACTCATTGAGCTCTTACGTCACAAATTGCAAAGAGATCCTACGATACGGTGCGCAGATTACCTCATCCAATACAAATCAGGTGTGTCACGGAAGCGCAAGGCGAAGCATTCTGGTGGCCGACATTCAGACTCGGCGGATGCGGAGATGGAGGATGACGACGACTTGAGCAACCACAACCAATCCTGCTACGCCTACGCGACCGTGTCACCAACATGGGACCATAGGTTTCGTTTCATCACTAATGAAAATACTGGAGATACGGACGAGAAGCTGTCAAGAATGCAACATCGTTGGGTGAACGAGGGAAGTCATGCAATACCTCTCACGGAGCGCATTCACACTCTGAATGCAAACCACCTGCGCAGAAACGGATTTGATCTCATGTTAACAGACATGTCTAGCACTGCCCAATGCAAATATTCCTGGGTCTTCGGAGATATGGAGACAGCGGCCGTGTTCGTCAGAGAAGGCTCGAAACCAATCGTGCAGTCGAGTTTTCATGTCGACGACTTTGTACACTGCCACAAAAAAGGCTTGCTTTCACACACAAAGATCATGAGCCATGTCATGAAACACGGCTTTCCTAGTTCAGTGGCCAACATGCTCGGCGCATTGTCAACAGTCGACGGTATCTACGAGAAATTATCTGGGGCCACTGTCTCACTCAAATGTTTCGAAAAGCCGTTGTTGGAGTCGAAATGGTATAACTGGAGCTCATTGCATCGAGGAGCTACGCGGCGAAAGCTCGCTCTGGCAATCGTATCGTATTTTGACTCAGGCTCTTGCGATTTAGACCCGGAAGATCTGGATCAGGTTATCGCTGTGTCTACTGGTGATTCCATATATGTTCCAGCACAGGTGAGTCACTGGAATATTTCTTCGCTTTGCACCCCCCACCTAGTTTCAATCTCGTCCCGATTTGTGGGAGGCGTTCGAGCTCTTATCAGCTTATTTTACAGACAAGCTGCTACAGTGTTGGCCCCGCTCCCTTCTTACTTTCTTTCGTTCATTATCCGCATTATACGTATTGATTGGCGATACTAAAACTGCCCAATCTGACGCTGAAAAAGCTAGTCTGTGACCCTCTGAAGCGGCACCAGCCTCATGTCCTAAAACGGATCCTTGGAAACATTGGAAAGCCTGGGGTTGTCCTCCTGAACCCACCTCAAGGTCCAATGATGCGTGACCTAGAATTTACATCCGTGTCCATGCCCAAATTCGATGGAACCAAACAGGACTGCTTTGGCGCAACGTCCTTGCATTTATCCTTTACCGGGCTGCACATGCCCATGTACGACACGAACGTCAAGGTTGGAAGAGACTCGCAGGTCTCTATACTCGAATCGGTGATGTCTGTCCGTGACCGTGGGAATTGGGTCGCTGATATCAACATACTGGACGCGCTCAGCACCGACTTCGATTTCAAGCCAGTGCTTAACCGAACCTGTCGACACGAGCAAACACAAGCGTCTTTCGCGGGGGTGTACTCAATTGAATCATGGGATGATATATTGGATCATCCTGTGGACAAATTTGTGGTGCGGACTCATGGTAACTGGGCTGCTCGTCTTGCGGCGTATTCCGTGCTCGCGCAAGCGATGAAAGAGAAAGGAAGGTCTGGGAGGATAACGGTCTGCGAACCAGACACTTGTTGGCAGTGCTTATTCAGAGCGTCTTCACGGGGCGGGTACTTGTTACATGGTTTCATAGACTAGCCTCGGTATGTGTTGTCAATTATTACAGAAAGCGACCAGGATGCAGCATGTAGTAGCACATGCAATAGCTTCAGACTGTCGGCTGATCGGCAAGATCATGTATGCGTTCCTGCTTAGCTGATAAGCTGTAGTCTGTACGGCGAAACCAAGCGTCCGAGGTCTCCACAAACCATGCCTATCTAGGTAATTGCGCAAGGGATTGAATGACATCCTGTACAAGCGTGCTCTCTTGTATCGCGGTAAGTCGTACGTCTGTATGGTCTCTCAACTGAAAAGAACCTCCATCTCCCAGGGCATCCCTTCGCTCCTTCTGCATATGTACTACATAGCGCTTCTTTGCGAGTCATTCCAAGTTTTCACTTTTCTAGCTCGCAAATTTCGCCGCACCGAAATGTTGGTCTCCGATTTTATCCTCTCGTTTCGCTACATGTGACCAAATTATTGCCTCTCAATTTCTTCTTGCATATACAGCCTCGCTCCATCCTCAAGTAGAAGCCTCCAATGAGTTTTTGCGGCTAGCGATAGATTGAGCACGGAGTTCTCGGATGAGTGAAGTGGCGTTACAACGTGTAAACCTATTGGTGCATGATTCTCTTCACGCACTATGCATGTAGGACGAAATTTGATTGCCGGCGGCATTGCTGATTCAAGCGGGCGTGGTTGTAGGGGTGTTGATAGGTTCCCCGCATTTCGGAGAATTGAATGCCGTGCAACGGCCACGTGCAATAGCGACAAGATCGTCAATAGATTAAAGACACTAGATCTGCCAAGTTGACCAAGACGAAAACATTAGCCGAAACTTTCCCACGGCTGCTTGAGCATGCCTAGGTACGATCGTGAAACTTGTAGTATATAGGGACGATGAGACAGTTATTGGGGTCTGTGTGAAAGATTCATCAGGTCTGCGCAATAGTCCTTCGGTCTCAAATCTCACCACTATGCCATCGTTCAGCTCTCTCAAAGCTGCTACGCTTCTGCTAGCATGCTCATCTTTCGCTACAGCACAAACATGTGACCTCCCTTCATCTTACCGCTGGACATCGACCGGTGTGCTTGCGCAGCCCAAGTCGGGATGGGTCTCCCTGAAGGACTTCACCGTGGTTAACTACAACGGCAAGAAACTAGTGTATGCCACAAACCACGATACCGGCAGCAGCTGGGGCACCATGATGTTCAGTCCCTTTTCCAACTGGTCAGACATGGGCTCTGCAACTCAAATCAGCACCGCAGGCGCAGTCGCACCTACGCTTTTCTACTTTGCTCCCAAGCAAACCTGGATCCTCGCTCATCAATGGGGACCTACAGCGTTCTCATACAAGACATCCAAAGATCCATCGAACGGCAGTTCTTGGTCTTCCGCACAACCGCTCTTCACCGGAAGCATCCAGAACTCGGGCACCGGCCCAATCGATCAGACCCTGATCGCGGATGCTAACAACATGTACCTCTTCTTCTGCGGCGACAACGGCAAAATCTACAGGGCCAGCATGCCCATCGGAAACTTCCCCGGTAGCTTTGGCTCAAACTACGTCACCGTAATGAGCGATACCACCAACAACCTCTTCGAAGCCGTGCAAGTGTACACGCTCAAGGGCCAGCAGAAGTACCTCATGATCGTCGAGGCAATTGGCTCGCAAGGCCGATACTTCCGTTCGTTCACTGCAACGAGTCTTAGTGGCAGCTGGACGCCACAGGCAGCATCGGAGCAGAACCCATTCGCTGGCAAGGCGAACAGTGGTGCGACTTGGACGAACGATATTAGCCATGGTGACTTGTACCGTGAGAACCCGGATCAGACGTTCACTGTTGATCCGTGTAACCTGCAGCTACTTTACCAGGGACGGGCGCCGAGCTCGGGTGGAGATTATGGCAAGCTGCCGTACAGGCCTGGTGTGTTGACGCTGCAGCGATAGGTGCACGTTCAAAGATACTTCTTCGAAAGAGTTTGCCATTTTGTTCCTTGTAAATAGCTTCAACAATTCATGTGTTTATTCCATTCTTAGTCGCATGATTGACGTCAAATATAAGCATGGCCAAAGTGAGAACGAGGCCGCCAGTGTGCTCTGCTCCCTGACTTACCGCTCTTACCCAATGTTCATTTTGCACTTCTACAACACTGGTTCCTGATATCCCTGTATGCAGGCCTTCTAGTTACAGTAGCTCTAATTGCGGATGTTGACAAAACGCGGTGCTTTATCGGTCATCTTCTAGCTAAGGATACAGAATTGAGGTAGCAGTGAAGTGTGAACAAGGGGTCTGGGAAGATGCTAAAAGTGTTTCGATACGGTATTTCCAATGAGGTTATCAAGCTTGTGGAACACTATCTTGCATGATGATATCGCATATGTGGGTAAATCCCCATGCAGTGGGGCTTTGGTAGTGGTCATGATGACGGGGGTGAAGGGAGAGGGTTGAGAGCTTTTCAGTCTAGTCGGCGATGCAGCGACAGTGCGCTGTGGCAGCGGAGATTGATTGTTTTGTATAGTGAGCTTTAGTGGTCATGGAACAGTCATTTGACGATCAAGTGGTTCGATAGAAGATGGTAATTATGGGGAGGAACTAAATGCGCAACCTAGTCTATGTTTCTTGCTTCATGAGTCTAGCAAGAGGTCTTGCCACCAGTAACACTGCAAGCTGCACCACCAGCACATTTCTTCGAATCATCAGCGTACCACTCGCATATTCAAAAGAGAGGTAAAACTTACGTTCTTGCAGGCGTACCATGTCTTGCCATCCGCGCAACATCCGGTCTTGATTGGGCAGTATCCCCACTGGTTGTTGGGATCACTGCCTTCAGCCAGCTGGGCCTGGTTTGTGGTGAAATGTTCGTCGTGGTCGAAGCATTGCTGAGATTGCGAATGTCAGCCTCTGTAAACGCTCTTCGAGAGGATCTAACTTACCCAGGCGGAGACCGTAGCGGCAAAGAGGAGAACAATTGCTTGGATCTGCATGATGGTGTTGTTGGGGTGTCGGAGAGCACTTATTTGGCAAAGTTTCGAGCTGTGGAAGAAGATGATGATGGAGGAGATGTTCGTCGAGTGAAGCTCTTCTTAACAAGACTGGATGAGTTTATACTAACCACATCCATCTCCTGCTGGTAGATTTTAGCTCCAATATAAATGAAAAGATAAGTCACTTTAGATGTGCCCGGATCCCTCGCGGGTGTACTCATCCTAGCGTACGGCCGTACCCCAATCTTCGGGATCCTTAGTACAAGGCTGAAGCGCGTAGGCTTCCACGAGTTTCTACATACGGTACTGTCATGGTTTGAAAGAGAGGAAATACCTAATAAGCACATCGCTTCTCCTCACTTGGCAACACTGGGCAAAAGCTTTTCTCCATGTTTGAGCCTGGTGGTGGAGCTTTCGGGTATACGTCGCTAAGAATATTCCATGAACATTCAAATCCATTCACTAGGTATCCTGGCTCACCGCTGTTTCGACGATTTCGAACTTCGCTTCATCGCTCAAGTTCTGTCCTCTCAATATGGGACTTCGGAGCTTCACCCAATGGTTGTCCGACAACACCTTTAGAATCTTTTCGAAGCGAGACGGCATAGACCGTACTCTGTAGGCCACGGCGAAATGCGCGGTCCAGCTAAATGCGCGGTTCGACGTACGGTTCGTGGTGCGCGGTGCGGCGTAACTAATGCGCGGTGCGGCGTAACTAATGCGCGCTTCGGCGTAATGCACAGAGTATCAATTTTATCCTGTGCGTATTGCACGCCGTGAAACTCCACTAATAGGGATCGAGTTTCAAGCAGCAGATTGAGCATTTGTGTCCTTACCTCAATCATCAAAATAACCTCACATCTTACATAAGAGGATCTCGGGTACACGCGGTACTATATACTACTCTTCGCATGATACTACCCATGGGAAGAAAGCATCAGCGAAGGCAAGAACCGTGATATGCAGTGCAAACAAACAGCAGTATTTAGCATTGTCTTGTAGCGACTTGAAGCGCACCCTTTACGTTACAGAGATACCTACCTAGACAATGCAAAATCCACGGACGCAAGTTTGGTTGCATTGCTTCAAGAAAGTTTGTAATGGTGGTACATCTCGTTGTCGACTATGTCTGCAAACAGGTAGAAGCCACTTTAATAGCCTAAAGCTATACATAGCATATCACCGTTTTGGTCAAATCAATAGCACTTTGAAAACCTACAGACTATCACTTGGTTAGCAATACCTTGTCTACTTTCCCTGAGGATGTAAGCGGAGAATGCGGCTCTGGGCGGGGCGCCTACGGACTGCTGGTCGCTCGGTTTCTACCCACTTGGGCAGTGTTCAGCCGTTAACCACAAATAAATGCGATGTCAGCATCTGACACCTACTAAGCCTCCAGTGCAGCAAAGGTGGTGAAGGAAACGCGATGCGGGACGATCAGTAAGCGTACGTGCTGACCCAATCCGGCAAAGTCCCCGGCCCCGCCGTGGTTGCCGAAGTATTCAAGCCCGTGGACCCATCGCTCAGCTCTTAGGCCTGTTGGATCGCATTCAGTCGCTCATTTCTCCTTTTGGTCTATGTCATGGAACCTTAATTGTACGATGTAAATATCTTGCTTTTTTGGTCCTTCTTTGCGCCTGCGATCACGTTTGCAAAGGTTTGTTGTTATGCGGCTCATACGTGTCCCGAAACAAAAGCACGGCGAACTCTGTCTCGTCGAATACGCTGAAAAGGTTCCACCATATGCCATACTTTCGCATAGATGGGGAGCAGACGATGAGGAAGTAACGTTCGAAGACATGGTGGAGATGAGGGGAAGAACCAAAAAGGGCTATCGCAAGATTCGCGATTGTGCAGATCAAGCTAGGAAAGACGGTCTCGGATTCTTCTGGGTTGACACTTGTTGCATCGACAAGTCCAGCAGTGCAGAACTCTCAGAAGCTATCAACTCGATGTGGAGCTGGTATCGCAAAAGCGAGATATGTTACGCTTACCTGAATGATTGCCCAGCAAGATCTCAAGGCAAAGACAGGTGCCAAACGCTCGCCAGATCAAAGTGGTTTACCAGAGGTTGGACGCTTCAAGAATTGCTTGCACCTTCGAAGCTTGTGCTGTACAACGTCGCGTGGAAGGCTATCGGGACCAAAGACAAATTAGCGCAAGATATTAGTGAGATCACCGGAATCGACAAGTACTATCTTGGGACCGACACGTCATTACTGGAACGCGCAAGCGTAGCGGAGAGGATGTCATGGGCATCAGCTCGAGAAACCAAGAGGCCAGAGGATGGTGCATATAGTCTTCTTGGTATCTTCAATATCAACATGCCTTTACTCTACGGAGAAGGAACCAGGGCCTTCCAGAGATTACAAGAGGAGATCATGAAGCAGTCTGATGATCAATCAATATTCGCGTGGCGTGCTGGCCGATCACACAGTGGTGGAGGGCTTCTCGCACAGATGCCAGCCTCGTTTCGTGCAAGTGGGAATATTGTGCGGGCAATCAACTCGGACGCAACCAAGCCATATGCTATGACAAACAGAGGTCTTCAGATCGAGCTGCCGCTTCTGAAGCGCAAGGGCGAGATACTCGCGCGACTCAACTGTCGGATGGAGCATGACTTCTTTTCCGACTTGGCGATCCCGCTTCGTCGCGTAGGCTCCGGGAACCAGTATGAGAGAGCGAGTGGTGAAGTACAATCACTGCCGATCAATGAGTGGGTGAAAGCAAAAGAGCACTCGATCTATATCAAAACGACATCTACCGATGTTGCTGCAAGATCTGACCCAAAGGAAGGCTCCGTCATCATACGAGAACTTCCGTCTGGCTACACTATCTCGCAGGTATTTCCTGGACCTTCGTGGCCTCACGGATCTCGTATCGTCGGGCGTCTCTATACTCGAAGAGTAAAGGAATCGATCCTCGTCATGATAACGTCCGGAAAGTCCCATTGCGTGGGTGTCATGATATCAGGTCACAGGAATACAATCTTTCGCGATTGGACACCTGATGCTCGTATCATCCCTATGCCAACTAATCCAGCACTGGAAACATCCCATCTCCACTCTCATTGGACGACCAAGGACACTTTCACCTTACCTAAAGCTCAAAGAAACGCTTCTGATGTGTTGTATCTTCGGGTCGCGAATAAACTTGTTCGCGGCAAAAAGCTGGTCGTACTCGATGTCGTCGTTAGCGATGGCCGCTACTACATCTTTCAGGAGCTAGCTGAGAAAGTCATTGCTTTGCTTCGGGCCACAGCATATCGGCTCTCTCGAGTCCTATGGTGGCTGCTTGGTACAGATGACCACAGATCCAGAACGATCACGACTCTCTACTGTATCTTAGACATAGCCTGCTGGGGTCAATTGTATGCGGTTCTGTGGCTCACATGGGATCCTGAGCTTGCAGCGCCTGTACAGGGTGCCCTGGGGGCAGTCGCTATGCTGCTTTACGCCATGAGGAAGCAAATTCTCATCATGATGGGGTGCGCAACATCAGCTTCTTTTGCCAGACTGCCATCGTCTACACGGCGCATTACGAGAAGCTGATCTGCTTTACGCCTCAAAGAAATGCCAGGAAAGGTAGAAATACCGCAGCTACTTTGACCGATATACTCGCGCTATCCTGATGGCTACAACGTGTTGACCATCCGTATTTCATGCTAGACCACTGCTACATGGGCGCCCATCCAACCCTTTCGACTTTTGTGATGGACGATCAATTCGGTAGACTCAAGTGAGGCCTACGCACGATTGCTGTGTGCAAGGCCTAGAATAGAAACTCGCACTCCGAACCTTTGATTGCACGCTACCAGCGCTGGCAATGATTGAACGAACAGCCAACCTGGGTGTGATCCGCGGAACCTCGACTCTGGCAAGCTAAGCTGGTGGCGGGGGCATATTGAGAAAGAGGATTTGCATGATTGTTAACCACTTAGATTCTACTATATTCCCCAACGGCAAAATGATTCCGACCTCCAACAGTCGATGCGTCAATCGACGATAACAAACCCCAACACCGGCGCTATGCAACAAAAAAAAATAAGCTCTCTATACAAGTGCTGACCGAAAGGCCCGATACAGCAAGGCAGACCCGGAAGAAAGGGGACCCGCCAAAGTTCTTAAGGATATATACAAAAGAAAGTTTGTGTGAAGTATGCGACGTATTATGCGCTGCATGTGTTGTTTCCAAGACCGGGACGGTAGTGCCCGTCTGGATGCAGATGATCCGAGATGTCCACGTTTCGAGATGTGCCTGTAGCAGTAGGCCCGAGATGTCGAATGTTTCGAACCTTCGCGGAGATGGTTCCGAGATCACCATCTGTTGTCTGACGATCCAACGGCTTTCACCACCGAGCAATTACCGCGATGCCTTAGTATTCTGACCAATGACCCATCTCTCCGACCTTTTCGAACTCTGTCTCCCTTACTACGCGTCGTCGCGCGCGCTCTTCGCGGCCAAAGCAGCAGAACAAGCGTGCTAGACCATTGCGCTTTCGTGGGACCAGACCGTCGTATGGGTTCTCTTTGTGGGGAGAGCTAGACGTGGACGATGGGCTGAGAGGGATTGTAGCGTTGATGAAGATCAGTGAATCGCGGTTGCGGTACTGCTGGGTTTCCACGAGCGTGCGTGGTGATGAACCATCAGAGTATGGTGATGGTGTTGTGGAAGATGCGTTTGATGGAAAGGATGTGGTGATTGGGGAGAGCATGACGCGGTTTGCTCGTGGCGAAGTTGGGAGACCGTATGGTGTAGACATTGTTGTAGAATCACTGGATTGCGTGTAGGTGTCGAATGGTGGAGCGACGAATGGTGTTTATATCAGATGCAGAGTCGGTTTTATGCAGGGCAGTGTTTGTTTGTTCCACCAGTCGCACCAAATATATTGAAGAAGTACGCAATACCAGTGCATTTAAGAATAGGGTTATAGGCAAGGGACTTCGCTCCAGGCAAGGACAAGAAAGAGGCGTAGATGGGTTTAATGCAAATGCGCAGGCGTAAGGCGGCCGGACATTTATGAGGGTTGTCAGGGGTGCCGTCATCTCCCCACGCCGCACTGCAACAGTCTTATGATCCAGGGGCGCAGGGTTGTGTAAAGCCCACCAACACGTCCGTGCGGGGTTCGGGCACATCTTCAGTTAGCAGATGCTGTGTGACCTTCAGATCCATAGGTCAGAGTTTGAGCCGCTTCTTGTTGTTCTGCGTCTTATCCAACCACAAATCCTGCGACGTTACGAACGCAACATGTTTTGCCAAACATCTCGCAGGCTCAGCTTTGCATGAATTTCGCAACCGTGTCTGTCATGCGAAGAGGCAGATCTGGGTCCAAGCCAAAGCACAGTCAGCAGGGACGGTTCCCGAGAAACGAGGCAGCAAGGTCTCTCGTTGGGTCCGCGTGTTTAGTTTACCGTGCCGCACCCCCTTGAGACAACTGGGCTGTCGCACGTTCGTTCCAAACACTGCGGAATTCGGTCTTTCTCACGACTCTCGCGGTTTGCTGTTAATAGTTGGCCAGTTCGCATGTCCATGCGAGGAACAGGATTATCCGAACGCTTTCGCGTGCGTCGCAACAATTTCGCCGGCTGAGTTGCTCAAAGGACGCGTCCCACGAATCACGATTCGGACCTTCGCAAACCATGTTCAGGTGTTGACAAGGCTCAATCAAACCTACTTCGCCGCAATATAACCGCGCATCTGTCGATGGGAGCGTCACGTAGCGAGCCTGTCGCGGCGCAGTCACGCAAATGTGTTGTACAAGGCTGAACGAAGCTTTTTCGCTTACGCTTATTGGCGCATGGTGTATTTATGAGGATGTCTCTCTGCCCTTGCTCTTTCGCACTGTCAAGAAGAATACAACATCGCCAGAATGATGGTACAGCGACATCAAAAAGGCTGAGAGCAGCCTGAATACACCGTACTCACATGCGCGGGCTCATGCGATGCTGCAGATCTTGCTGCTTGTCAGCATATTACAACAACTATAGCGAGGCAGATGTGCTGCGCCATCGAGTTGCATTTATTATACAAGCGCTAAGCGGCGCAGCAGCACCGCTACAGGTATGACAGGTGTCGCTTCAAAAGTGCCGGAGACCATCTATACGACCTATGCGGAGCATGCAGCATGATTTGGAAGAAGATAAGAAGGCTGGTCACGAGAGATTTGGAGTGGTGTGAGAGTTGGCACTAGATGCTGCAATAAATCGTGCGCGCTGTGCCTCGCAATCCTGAGTGCTATCTATTTCAGCTAAGCCTTCTTACTTCAAGGTTGTCTGAGTTCTTCGCAGCGTGTTGATTGGCGGTCAATTTTATTCGGGCTTGTATATAACATGACAGTTGCTCTCTAATAGTACCAGTTAAGGTCATACAGAACGCGTACGAATTATCGCTGCACCTGGAGTTCGTGCGTCCTTCGCTGTGAATCGCTACACCTGCCAACCAGATCAAGCAAAGGCGAATGATCGCCCACAGGTCGTCCCATCCGTAGCTGCAGTAGTTCGAGTTTCGGATTATTGTCCACGTTACCTCGCGAAAACTTCATCAAAAACCAACCACTTGCAAGGCTTCGGGGCTATGATGAAAAACTGCTTTGAGAATTCGACATTCGGTGGCATTGATAACCCATAGATAATCGCTTCTCTTTCCCTTCTTCCCTTCTTGAAGACCAAAATGCCCATTTGTGATGAACTTGACTGTGGTCCTTAGAAGTGATCTGCCTATGGATAATATTATCAGGCCATTTTCTACAGAAGGCAGATTCGTCTCCAATTCGTGACGATCAAACGTGTTGTGTATAGTCCACCAGCTTCGGCGCTTCCTGAGGTAGTCTACCATAGTCCAGATAATCTAAGTTGCCAGAGAGAGCGAGTATTACGTCATGTCACAGAGAATGATCGAGTCGATGTATCTCAGATATGCAAGGGTGCTGACAGTGACAAGAATCACCAGATCAAGTGGAATTTAGGTAGCCAGGAGCTTCTAGAACCATGTTTGTGATGATTCGAATCGTGTGGCAATTTCAGTTTGTATTCTTAGGCTTGAATTGCCCAGCTAAGTCTTGTCATGTTGTCTTTCATTCAATTACTTAGCAAAGCCTGGTAGCACTACCCTAATAAGTTCTCATAGTGTTGATCTTTCAATCGTGTGTGAGCGTTCACTAGAGAAGTCTTTCTGGCACCTTGCCATTCGGCTTAAAATAGGCCCCTGATGAAACTCGATTTGGTCGTTGCGTGCCTGTCTCGAATGTCACAGCCCGAAAAATACCCTGGAGGAAAGCTCAAATGCTCGAAAGCACGATGTTATGCGTCAAGACGTCATTCCATGCATCTTCAAGTCCGTAATGGATGCTCGAGAATCGCGATTTCGGAGATATGTGATTGCGTGCTTGCATTGAGACATGCGAGCTTGGCGCCAATGACTTTGGACCTGGATCACGTGTACTTCTTATGCACTGTCCGTTTGACCATGTCTATTCTTGGATGTATCGCAAGATGAAATGGTCGCATCACCCCTTCAGTTCTCCTCCTGGAGGATCACCTTGACCTCAGATTTCGATCCTTGGTCATTGTGAGCAGCTGTAACAGGGACATTTTCAGCAAGGCTAGCACAATTACTTACTTGCCATTAAATCAGCCATGACCATCCCTTCATCAGTCACCATCAACGGCGCATCTGTAGCTTGTCTTAGCACATGCCGACATGTATACCTGTGATCTGGACGATCAAAGTCGTCAACATACTTGCGAATAGCAGCTGGTATGCGTCCCCCTCCTTCTTGGCGGTCACAGCCTGAACCCGCTTTTCATTCTCTGCGTTTGCTTTGTACCATGACACTGGCTTAGGTCCAAAGCTACGATTCTCTGCCAGATTACGGCCCATGATCCGGTCGCCACATTGAAGCCGACTGTCCTTGAGACTGAAGATTGCTGGCTCCTCTCCCAGCTTTGCTTCGGTGTGGTCTTCAGCGCCGCCATCGACTTTCGCGATTGGCTTGCCATCGATCTCAATTGTGAAATGGGAAGGGATGGAGTCCATGGTGCCCGTTTGGAAGAATCCTAGCAACCACAATGTGACGAGGCCCGACAAACACAAGAGAGCGATCCTGCCAGGAGTGACCGTCGCAGCTGGCATTCAGTACTTGTGGAATTGATTCAGACTGGTGGAACTCAGGAGAGCACGAAAGGTCCACGAGGTGGGCGCTTAGGGGTGCCGGTGTCGACTGTACCGAGGTTCGTTCCTCTGGTGTTGAGATGTCGGTCTTATTCGAAGATATCGGTGCAAAGTCACGATGCCAGTCCGTATTTACCTGCAGTATAGCCGGGCGGAACTTCGTTTTTGGTGCGAGAAGATATGGAGAGATACCGACTCTGGCAGCTGGTATCGCATGATTCAAGGCTATGCTCGAAACACTATAGCGCACCCCATAATAGATGACGCCAAGCTATACGCTCCGGACTTGGCTCTTGCCTCATTAGGGTCGCTAATCGATACCGCTGTATCACGTCAAAGGACATCTCCGATAGCCCTCGTTACAATGCTCCCATTGCCTTGCGCATTGCCTTGCCAAGATGATGAAATGACGTCTGTTCAGCTTGTACGAACGACGCCTACTTGATTTTGGAAGGTCAAGGCTAAAGGTGTAGGTATGCTCCATTTCTTCCATTACTCAGGACCGATGTGTCCGCGTTGTGCGCCACCTATTTTCGCCAGCGCATTAACTGGCCAAGGGCGAGTACCGCACACCTTTTTTAGGTACGCTGATCACTTCCCACATGAAGATGCGTTCGGAGACAAGCGACATAGGAGTTTACGTTGAGCTTCTACTGGCGAATTCTGCGTCCCAGATGGCCAGCGATCGTGCGCCTCCTACAAACGCAATGAACTTTCAACTGCCATATCGCTTGATCTTGTGGATCTATACTTGGGAGATCGGAGAGCCGTTTGCGTGTGTTTCCAGAAACATTACCTGTGTTGAGCTTCCTCTTCTGTCACTACGGCCGGCAGATCGGAGATTATGCCACCTATAGCAACCACCTGCACTGTACCTACAGCCGCATCGCACTCTGAGTGGTCCCGAAGTTACAAGCTCTGCCAAGATATGGTGTCGCACGTTCCCACGGCTTGTCGATGCTACATATGGAAGGAACTTAGTTAAACCCAGTAGGAAATGTCTTGGAGTATCGATTGGTACCTTGCAGTGCGGCCGATTGCGAAGATTGTGTACCTGCAGGTCAACAACAGAGTATACGGGTATGGGAACTTCAATTCTATAAGAATGAGCCTCTCAGCAGTCTTTAGAAGGCACCTCCAGTCAGTCAGTCGCTTCACTCTTCAGCTCAACGACCTCCCAGCCTTTCGCTTCAAAGTCCCAGTTCCACCACCGTCAACATGCACGCCCAATCCATCCTCGCCGCCCTTGCGGTTCCTGCCCTCGTCTACGGTGCTGCCATCCCCCAGGAGTTCCCTGAGAACTGGGATGAGACTTCCGAGGACATCGTTGGTGGTGTCACCGCTGCCCAGGGTGACGTGCCTTTCATCGTCAGCGTTTCGCTGAGCGGTGTTGGCCACTACTGCGGAGGCTCTCTCATCAACGCCAACACGGTTGTCAGTGCAGCTCACTGCTACCAAGGCGAGACGGCCACTGACTTCAGCGTTCGTGCTGGATCCCTCGTAAGTGATCATCTTGCCTAACACGAGATCCATAACATCTTGCTTACTCTTCTTGTAGAACAAGAACTCCGGCGGTACTACCTCTGCTGTTGCTTCCATTGTCATTCACCCGAGCTACAACAGCCGCACTTCGGACAACGACATTGCCATTATCAAGCTCAGGACCCCCATTGCGACTAGCTCTACCATTAGCTACGCATCCCTTGCCGCTTCCGGCCAGGACCCTGCTGCTGGTACCACTCTGACCGTCGCCGGCTGGTAAGAATACCACATCACCCAAATACTTTGTATCTCGCTAACACATCTCCAGGGGTGCTACTACTCAGGGTGGCGGTAGCCCTACCACGCTCCGCAAGGTCGATGTGCCCGTTGTTGCGCGCACCACTTGCCGCAGCCGGTACTCCACCATTGGCCTCTCCGTTACCGACCAGATGTTCTGCGCTGGTTTCACCGCCGGTGGAAAGGACTCTTGCCAGGGTGACTCTGGCGGCCCCATCATCACCTCCTCCAAGCAGCTCGTCGGTATCGTCTCTTGGGGTGAGGGCTGCGCTCAGCCCAACTTCCCCGGTGTCTACTCCAGGGTTGGCTCTCTTACTTCTTTCATCTCTGCCAACTTGTAAAAAAGTGCTGAGATCTAGGAATTTTTCCTTTCTTTCTTTCTTTTCAACGCTTGATGGAACGGGTAATGTTCGCGGAGAAGGGAGGTCTAGGGTTTTTTTTTAGGGTCATGAAGTAGGAGCTATGCATAATGTCGTTGTCGATTCTTCTTACTCTTGTGATGGTGATATGCATGTGTAGCGCTGAGGAATAACATAGGTACGAGGATTACCCTATCCAATGACTACACTGACGCTAAGCTCGTACACATAGCTGCGGCCGTGCCACGTTCGAGAAGTACTGTGCGTTAGTTGGCGATTGGTCCCATGACTCAAATTCGAGTAGCATGGCATACATCAGTCTTGACCAGCCTCTGATGGTTGTATAAGCCTCTCTTTGTTACAAAGCACACGGGGTAAAGGCAACACGATCCAAATCAAATCTGCTCTCTATCTACTTGGATATTGATCGGCAGGATGCATTGAAAGACCATCGTTTCCCCTCGCAAATTCATTCAAAGTACCTCGCATTCAAATGCACCATTGAGCATTGTGTGCGGAGCACACATTCCTTCTACTCGTTATCAGGTCCCACAGCAACTTCACCGTATGCAAAAGCGATACTCAAGATCTGGACAGCTGAAGCCAGCAGTATTCGAAGTCTAGGATACCAAGTAATCGTAATCGTCGCACCAGAATACAGTGTCTACAGACAGGTCTTCAGTATCGACAGTTATACCATGGAGAGTATTTTGATGTTCATTGGAGACACTTTCCAAGGGTATTACTCAAAGGGAGGCTTCTTGAGTAACTCGTTTCAGAAGCCGGGAAAGCAGACCTCTGAGCCCGATGAAGTCATCTTAGCCTTATGAACCGGAAGCTTGACAAACTGCGCCTACCCTAACAATCGCATCTCCGGCGTCCTCGACCTTGTCTCCAAAGCAATGTCCAAAACATTCCGCGACTGGCCATACACCGTCAACGGCACCCAAGGCACCCGAGAAGAGACTTACTCGCCTGTCATACACATACGCGTATCGTGGGTTTGGATTGCACTACCGGCGTGCACTTGGCTGTTGGCGTTGGTGACCTTTGTATCGACAGCCTGGCGATCGAGCGTGCTGGGAGTGCATGTTTAGCGGAATAGCACGCTGCCGATTGTTTTTATGAAATTGGACGGTGAGGTGGAAGTAGATGGAGGTGGAGGAATTGAGGTGAAGGCTTTGCAGCGCAGGGCTAGAGCGATGAGGGGAAGGTGGAGGTTGATCAGGGAGATGTGAAGTTCGAATTTTGGGTAGAAAATGTGACAAACATGTCAAGGACAAGGGACATAAGCAGCGCGAGTCCAATGATGAAAAAAAAACAGAGAAAATCCAATCTCAAAGGGAAAACTAGATAGGGCATCATGAGATAACGGATCTCTGAGTAGAATAGAAATATCGCAATTGCGTTTGGGTATCTTCGCTACAAAATGACTTTTACATCCGCGCATCCTCAAGCAGCCAATTCAGAAATTGCGGCCCACATGCTTGACCAAATTGACCCGTTTTGCACGGTCTCGACTTCAGTCTGCTGCTGCTCAAGACTACGCATGGCCTCCTCAATCTCCTCGTTCCAACATGCAATTGCATCCTTTTCATCTCTGATCGCTATGTCGTTGGGTGCAAGAGTCGCTGCTTGCTCGATCAGTGTAACAGCCTTTACTCTCGCCGCACCGTCGCGCATCAATCGCAAGCATTTCGCTTGGCGGTACATCATCTTGCCCTGCTGTTGGTTGCTTGGGATCCAAGTCGCGCCAGCGTGCTGAGCGAAGCGCGCACTCGCCGTTTCACACTTGCGCAGATGTTGCAGTGATATCTTTCCATTGCGCCCAATAAGTGCGGATTGCGCAAGATCACTAGCCATGTCGACTTGCAGGAATGCCGCGGAAAGCAAGTTGAGCGTAAAGTAAAGATCAGCAGTCTTGTTCACAAAGTCTTCACCGCCAGTCTTCTGCAGACCAAGCCATGAGGAGCTGTGGCGCATGCGCTCAAGTGTGCGCATAGAGTAGTTCCATGATTCTGCCGCAGTGTAGTAGTTGTTTTGCTGCCATTGACGTTTGCCGACATCGACGCCAGTGTGAATTTCGCCGAGAGTTGCCTCAGGGTCGGTCCACCGGGGTTTCGCAACTTCTTCAGCAACCGTCTTGGCGAGAGTGGCGTCAACAGGACCGGTGATTTTCAAATTGGGCACACCGCGAAGAAGGGTTGCTATGGGCTGCAACAGGTGCTCCTGGATCTTTGGCGTGAAAAACCGGGAATATGCGTAATTGAATTTGATGCTCGCGTGAAGGGAAGTGTGCTCGCTCGTGGTCGCATTAGCGTCTGTCATAACGCTTTCGACATCGAGCTTGCCGCACAGATTCGGCAAATCAGCGCGCAGCATCATCATTTCGTACTCCGTAAAGGCGAATGGGCTGGGCGCAAACATGGGTTTGGATAGCGTCATATGCATAACGTAGCCTTGGAACCGGCTGACTTCGTGTGGGTTCGCGGAGACAACAGGAATACCATCCTCGAGGAACAGATTCCGCACGTCTAGACCGCGGCACGTGACGCGAACAAATTGGTTGCGCTTCACCATGTAGCCGTGAAGCTTCGCTGTGGATTTGCTTGCTGACGCGTAGAAGAGGTGATGCCGGGTAGCTTAGGCTTCGCCTGCTTACTTTTGCTGATAGAATGTGGGTCATGCTCGGGCTCATCGTTCCAGGAGCATAGAAGCAGGTCGTAAACATTGTTACGGATCTCGCCGGGCAGGTCCAGAAAGCGGAAAGGTTGAATTGCTTGGTGGGATGACATCGTGGGTTCTGGGTTTTGGGTTTTGAGTTTTGGGTAATGGGTTCTTGATAGGTGGTAGTGTTGGGTTGTTGTCGCTAGGCTTGTCGTCGCAAGGCAAGTCGCAAGGAAGAGTTTGTCGCAAGGTATGAGGTCGCAGTGGAAAGTATGTCGCTCAGGTAGATATGCTGGGCAGGGAGGTCGCTTGGAAAATGGCGCAGTGGAAGGTTGCTATGGTCAATAGGAGTAGAAGAAGAATGAAGTCGCTTGGAATATTGTCGCTCAGGTCAGATTGTCGCAAGGGAGTCGGATTGCATTTGTACTCAACACAAATGAGGCGCGAAACGAGTAAAGGAGTAAATTTTGTTGATTGGCGTCAAGACTTCGGGTCTTCCGCAGAAATTTCGAATGTCAGAGCTCGGCCCAGATCTCCGTGCATTCGATCTTGTCACGCAAAGCTGGGGCGCACGTCCTATTCTTATGCTGGCGGTGAAACACGGCGTGATCTGGCAAGTGGGTCGCGGGAAGCACTTGCGGATGGCTTGAGTCTTTTGTCGGTTCTAGCGGATCCGCAGGTGTGAAATCTGTCAGGAGAGAGATGCGGAGAAGGTGAATGTTCGGCTGCTAAGATGCATGGTGATGTAGGTCAAGGGTCTGGCTAGCCAGGAGAAGTTTAACGCCGCGCAACTTCCCGAAGTTCGCGTCTCCGCCGTCCCCGACGGAAAACCATCCGGTGAGCTCGTCACGCAATGACGACGGCTTTCGCTCGAGGAGGGCTCGGAAGTGAAGGAGATTACTCGGAGAGTCTCGCTGATCAAAGCTTTGATTTCTAGCAACATTGCGCGTTCCAAACCTTGAATTGCAACACACCGAAAAAGGCGCCCCGGCCCCCTCCGCACTTCAACAATGACTATAACATGCACCAATACTACTTCTGCATCCCTCATTTAGAGCTATGCCAATCAGGAAGGCACTTTAGCTGTTGAAATCCTTTCAAAAGTGTTAGCCGGCACAGGAATGGAGCGGACATGCAGCTACAGCACTATTACACCGCTGATTAGCTGACCGGAATTCATACCCCCCACCAAACATACCCTTGAAGTATTTTGCATCTGCTCGACAGTTCTGGCCATGCAAAGACTACACCTCGGTGTTCATCGCACCACTATCAAGCACTGTCGGCTGGAAGAATTAGGCTCAGTGCAGCAGAATCCACCGCAGAGCAGTAAGCACGACCTCAAGAGGCGGTAGATCATTCCAAAAACTTGTCTTGTGCATCTAGTAAAACCAAAAGAACTCAGCAACCGAACTGAAGCGCAGCAGTATTCTGCGTCCGGGATATTCGAGAGACAGACCACTGTTCTACCATTGCCTGCTCCATAATGCAGTAATGACCCAAACATGTGGCAGTGCCTGAAGACTGGTCATCGTATGATCACAATCTCGCCAAGTTGATTGGCATACACCGCATATGCCAGAACCCAGAAGATGCAACTCAGCCACACAACATAACTCGTCCTCCCGGTTCCCCGCCTTGTCGTCCACCCACTTATCAATCTGCACACGCTCCATAAGCACCCAAGGCAGCGCGTTACGTTCCCCCACTTACACTCTGCAGTCCCATAAGAGATTCCCCCTCGTACCGCGTCCCCATTCTTATGATCTACTCTTTCGCTTGTCCTAAAAACCCTCTGTTTGTATAGACACAAGCGGACACTCCACGGATAGGTGTTTCCACCTGGACATGACACCCACTTTCAACAACTGCACCAAGACATTGAGAGCGGCTACACTAAAGCGGCACTTCTGTATTGCATGTATTTTGTCATGCAAACCATGAAATAAGCGGCAATGTATGCAGAGTGTAAGAAGATGATGCTACTCTGTATACCTTAAGGCTAGTCGATAGACGAGCTGAGAATACGCCTGTGTAAGTTCGCCTGTAGATGTCAAACTGTAGTACATCCATTTAAGACGCGCCTGTTTGCTTGGCTGATTGCGGTGCACTTCACGATGAGAAGAGGCATTCGCTGGTCGGATTCAATTATAGGAAAGCAGCGAGTTCTATGCCGCCAATGAAAGTCTTGGGAAGGCGTGGCCCTGGTGGTAAGATTGTTCGCCATAGGTATACGGAAAAGGCAGAGTAATTTCAGCTTATTTATCTGATGTATTAAAGTCTTCTTGACACCACGGCAGCAGAGCAAATCAGCTTATTCTCATTGCCTATTTGTCACCCAGCAACTAAATGAGTTTCCAACACCTAGCCTTTCACGACATGACTGTCAGTCGCTTTTCTCATCCAGAGCGTAAATCCTGCAGGCACTGGCATTTTGAGCAAGGTGTTGCAAAGTGCATGTGATGGTAAGCTCCACACCATACTCGAGGTGTACGATTCTTGGCATACAACTACCATGTTGTGTCTCCTGTTTGACGGGGTCCTGGCATGTGAATTTGCGACCCTGTGATGAACGCCTGAGGCTAAGTGCGCTGCTGCGTACGTGTGGCTGAAATCCATCGTTCGTACGAAACCTCGGACGACATGCAAAATATGCAGTAGACAGCAAAAGGCTGCGACGAGTCGTGCGAAGTTGCGGACCCTCGGTCCACTTGATCGTGCCGGAGCGTTGCGTCTGTGCTGCAACCAGCCTCAGGCGGCTCTTGGGGCATGTGGGGTTGGAGGGGAGAAGTGTAGAAAGAACGATGATGAAATCTGCTCCAACACCACAACTTCTTCATATCAAAGAGAATTCCCACTAATCATTGGAATCTGACTGCTTTGCGACGTGCAATACACAAAGCGCACACGATCAACAACATCTGTCATCGGTCTAGCGGCTCCCATCTCAAACGACGTCAGGGCCTAAGCTTTCCCCGACAACCTCGGCACATTTCGCGACGATTCACAGCTCACCCAGCAGTCGGCAGTAGTCACGCGTTACGCAACGCCGACAAACCCAGCGCGTGCTCAGATTCGCCGAGGTGGTTGAAGCTTTGAATTTCCATCGTCATTTCAACGTGTCCTACTCTTTTGTCCCTTTTCACACATTCATTTGTGATGTTCAGCAGAGTTGCACGAGCGCGAGTGCCTGCCTCGATCCTTCGCAGACCTACACTAGCACAGCAAACACCCAGGGTGTGTATTTTGGAGCGCGGGCGCGTGGTGGGGGATGTGAATGCTAATGATTTTTGATAGCTTTTCGCAATGGCACCGGCACGGAAGCAGTCTTCTCTGCCAGCAGGTATGTGACAGCTGTCATTCTTCACATGCGAATTCCAGACTTCAGATGTTGACATGGTCTAAATGCAGGCTACAAGGAGGACCACAGCAAAGGTGCAATGCTGCGCTTCGAGGACTCCCTCCCGCGTCTCCCAGTCCCCACGCTCGAAGAGACCGCCAAGCGGTACCTCAAATCCGTTCACCCGCTCCTCTCCCAGAGCGAGTACGATGCGACTACAAAAGCTGTCAACGAGTTTGTAGCTCCTGGCGGGCCCGGAGAGAAACTCCAGAAGCGCTTGGTGGAGCGGAGAGAACGCCCAGAAGTGAAGAACTGGATCTATGACTGGTGGAATGAGGCAGCATACATGGCTTACCGCGACCCGGTCGTGCCATATGTCAGCTACTTCTACTCGCACCGCGACGACAAGAAGCGAAGAAACCCCGCCAAGCGCGCAGCTGCCATTTCCACCGCAGTTCTGGAGTTCAAGAAGATGGTCGACAATGGCAGTCTGGAGCCCGAGTACATGAAGAAGCTGCCCATGGCCATGAGCTCGTACGAGTTCATGTTCAACTTCTGCCGTGTCCCCAAGAAGCCGTCAGACACCGGTGTCAAGTACAACTTCAAGGAGAACCAGCACATCATTGCCATCCGCAAGAACCAGTTCTGGAAGATCCCTCACGAGATCAATGGCAAGCAGCTGAACACCAGCGAGCTCCAGCTCCAGTTTGAGCGCGTCTACGAAAAGGCCGAGAAGTCGCCCGCAGTCGGCATCCTCACATCACAAAACCGCGATGTCTGGTCAGACGTATACCCCAAGCTCAAGGCCGCCTCGGACAACAACGCCGCATCTGTCAAGGATATTGAGGCTGCCTCCTTCATCGTCTGCTTAGACGACGCATCGCCCGTCACCCTCGAAGAGCGCGCGCACCAGTACTGGCACGGCGACGGCTCCAACCGCTGGTTCGACAAGCCCCTGCAATTCATCGTCAACGACAACGGCACATCCGGCTTCATGGGCGAGCACTCGATGATGGACGGCACCCCCACGCACCGCCTCAACGACTACGCCAACCAGCAAATCTTCACCAACGCCCTCCCCTTCGACGACCCAAACATCCGCTCCGACCTGCCCAACCCCAAGCCCCTCCGCTTCGACATCAACGAGCAATTGAAACAAGACATCTCCGACGCCCAATCCCACTTCTCCCGATACCAAATCGGCGCGCACGAGCTCCGTGTCCAGGCATACCAGGGCTACGGCAAGGGGCTGATTAAGAAATTCAAATGCAGCCCCGACGCATACGTGCAGATGATCATCCAACTCGCATACCACAAGTTCTACGGCAAGAACCGCCCGACGTACGAGTCGGCTGCTACGCGCCGCTTCCAGCAGGGCCGCACGGAAACATGCCGCACCGTCTCTGACGAATCCGTCGCCTTCTGCGCAGCCATGAACGGCTCCGACGCCTCCCCGGAGGAGTGCCAGAAACTCTTCCGCGCGGCGCTGGACGCGCACGTCAAGTACATCAGCGACGCATCTGACGGCCGCGGTGTCGACCGCCATCTCTTCGGGCTGAAGAAGTGCCTGCAGGCCGGCGAGGAGGTGCCCGCGCTGTACCAAGATCCCGCTTACACCTACAGCTCGACGTGGTTTATCAGCTCGAGCCAGTTGAGCAGCGAGTACTTTAATGGGTACGGGTGGAGTCAGGTTGTGGATGATGGCTGGGGGCTGGCGTACATGATTAATGAGAACAGCATCCAGTTTAATGTTTGCAGTAAGGGTTTGGGATCGGTAAGTCTAAACTTGAGTTTGAGTGGAGATTGAGGTGCTAACGAATGCGCAGGAGAAGATGAGCTTCTATCTCAATGAGGCGGCCGGCGATATTAGGGATATGATGCTGCCCACGCTCGATGCGCCCAAGGCGAAGTTGTAGACGGACAAGTACTTGATGCCAGATATGGGTGCATATTGACTATGTTCTTGGATAGGTGTGCGAATAGGTGCTTTCACTTCTGTCCGTGGTAGATTAGCATGCATATAGAAAGAGGAAAGAATCCGATTTTCGAGTCAAACATCGGTGCAAACACATTCAGCATGCTCGTTCTGAGCACACCCGTTTTGCTAGCTTGCGTCGGCTCCGTCTGCCCGCCATTGTCACATGTCCACAACATCGGCCCAAAGGCACCTCGCTCTTGCCACTTCACATGCCAAATCGAACGTTTCAGGATACGAAGGAGTATTTTGTGTGCTAAGATACAGATCAAAAATCTACACAAGACCTACTCCCCATCGCTAGATGATCCGGTAGCCCATGGTCATTACTAGTGTACACCTCGTTCACAAATCGCGCGAGTGATTTATGGGTTCTGCTTGACGAACTCGACACCCTTCTTGATGTTCTTCGCGAGGTCGGCCAAGCAGGCGTCGAGGAGCTTCTGCTCGTAGTCGGTGATCTTTCCGACGGGGTGGATCTTCTCGACACCGTTGGGGCCGAGCTCGACGTTGGAGGCGAAGTACTCGCAGCCCTGGTCCTTGTAGAGAGGAGAGTCGACGAAGGTAGGCTCGATGACGTTCTTCTGGCCCTGGGCAGCCTTGAGGAGCGACTCGGCGAAGCGGGCACCGGCCATGGCCATGGAGAGGGTGGCAGAGCCAGCGCCGTCCTTGGCCTTGACGACCTCGTCACCACCGAACTGGACGCGGTTGACGTAGCTGTCGAGCTTCTCGCCCTCGAGGTTGTAGCCAGACTGCGACAGGAGAGGGACGATGGTTGCGCCGGAGTGGCCACCAACAACGGTGATGTTCTCGCTGGAGGGGTCGGTGTTCTTCAGCTGGGAGATGAAGCGCGAGGCACGGACGACGTCGAGGGTGGTGACACCGAAGAGGCGCTTGGGGTTGTAGACGCCCTTGGACTTGAAGATCTCGGCAGTGATGGGGACGGTGGAGTTGACCTGTGTGGATTAGACCTTGACTACGTATCTTCAAGTATTTTTCTGCATACCGGGTTGGAGATGATCAAGATGTTGGCCTCGGGGGCGTGCTCAGCGGCGGCCTTGGCCAGGTCGCGGACGATGGAGGCGTTGGTGTTGAACAGGTCTGTGTATGATTAGCCATGCAGCCATAAATATGCAGCTGCTGTGCATACCATCACGGGTCATGCCGGGCTTGCGGGGAACACCAGCGGGGATGACAACGATCTCAGCGCCCTTGAGGGCATCGGCGAGACCAGAGGGAGTGGCCTCATGGCCGGTAACCTTTTGAGCGTCAGCGGGGTAGCTCGTATGCAGCTTTGGATGATGCAATCTACCTCGCTCTTGGTGTTGATGTGGCCAATGTCGGCAGCGACACCTGTAGGTTCGCCTTAGAACTTGTGTGTATAATTTCAGCGGCAACGGAGCATACCGGGAGCAAGACGGATGTCGTAGAGGGACAGCTTGGTCACTCTTGGGTTGAGCTTCAAGAGCAGCGACAATGGCTGACCGATACCACCGGCAGCACCGAGGACGGTGACCTTGCTCGACTGAATCGTATTCGTTAGCACTATACTACTTTGACTATTACTCCAAGCTACATGGCCGCACTTGCAGCACACGCAATTGGAGTCTTCGGATTTAAATTTACCTGGCGGGCAGACGAGGAAAAGGCACGGCGCGAGGCCTGGGAGAAAGCTTGCCTGGCAGCGAACATGATGACTACAATTGACTAAAGGCGACTGTAGTAAATGGGCTGGATTGGGTGGTGGGGATGACGGAGGGAAAGTTGCGGATCGAGGTTTTGCTCGAGTTACCAGCGGTGAAGCACTGACCCCCGGAACAAGCTCGGAGCTGCGGCTGTGACAGCTGCCATTGCCTCACGCGCGGGATACACCAGACCACCACCACGACCACACCCACGGTACATCGAAATCGTGCGAGTGCAATCGACTGAACACATCGCAGTGTTGAGCATCATGCCTAGCAATTTGAGTCATGATGCCGATGAAACCCTCTTCCATGCGTCCTCCAATGAGGGGCAGTCATGGTCGCAGCGCACCTGGTCGCTCTCTTACGCTTTCTGAAGCGCCCTTTAGACTTACTCCACAGATCACCCATGCCTGTTACAGTACTCTGCTATCTCCAGTTCTACTCGAATATTTCGCGTTAACGGACCAATTGCACGTCTCGCTGGTGACTCAGGTTCTATCATCGGCCATTAGCCACGCCGCTGCTCCATAGCTGTGGCTTAGCTTTGACTGCATCGTCTGCATGAATGCACTGACAGTATACATTCGTACCGGGCCGACTTTGATTCGGTATATGTATCGCAACCTGCTCTACAATGTATCAAAGACACATCACAAACTTCCGCCTCATTAGAGAAAATCCCTAGCAGGGCATCAGCCAAGTTCATGGAGATCCCGACCCAGAGCGAGCACCCACAGCAGGAGAACGCAACGACAATGGAAACATTCCAAAACTCAGAAACACACCCTGCAATCACAACCACACCTGGCTCAGTTTGCAACGACGAGGCAACATCTCCCAGTGAAGCACCCCAATGTCCAATCCGGGAACTTCAGGACGCGTTGGGACCGCTACTATTGAGTACCAAAAAGGTAGAATTGCAGCGCCCCGAATGGATCCTCACCCCCGCGAAGAAGCCCCCAATTTTGCCCAAGTGGACCGGAAGCTTTACGCTTCTCGCTTTTCCTCGTGAACTTAGGGACAAGATATATTACCATTACATCTACCGCCCCGAAGGCGTACTTTTTGTAAGTCTCTGATAGATGAGCCGAAAATGAACATCGCTGACGCTATATGGTCTGATAGCGCCGCAACACTGCTCGCTGTTATCTCTTTGACGACCGCCCCGAAGACAGGATATCTCTTTTTCTCACTTGCAGACAAGTTTACGACGAAGCATGGCAAGTGTTTTGCCGTTACAACGCCGTCCATCTGCCCGCTCGCCAAGACTGGGGTAATCCACGCACCAACTTCAAAACCCTTGACGGCACTCTGAGGGTCTTCCCCGACAAACCTGCTCGATCACTCCAACGCATCAGTCTCTCATTCATGCAATACATGTTTATGTATCGTTACCGCACTGAGCGTGACCAACTCACAGCTGGAGAAGCATTTGTCCAAATACTACGCGACGCATATACAGTCAAATTCACCTTTCCTAAGCTCCGAGAATGCATTGTCTTCTTCGACACTTACCACGACTTTTTCGGCTTAGATTCTCGCACGTTCCAAATCCCGGGCGCGGACGATGAGGAAAAGACTCAATGGGCATTCAACTTGATGAAGAGGTTCGTAGGCCCCATCACTGTCGTGCCTCCGAGTTGGCTTGTGTTCCGATTCAATCCCGACTGGCATTATGAATACTTCAAACACCAGGAAGGCATCTGGAATGCTGGATATCAGCGCTTGGTTAGGGAATACGCAGATAAAGACGAGGCACTGGAGAATAGTGGCAAGAAGTGGATAGAGGAAACATGGGAATTCGAGAGGAAGAAGAAGAAGGCGAAATTCAAGGACTATAGACATATCGGCCCTTAGTTCCGACTTGAACCTTATAGTCTTCTCAAGTCAAGAATGCAACTCAACTTCTGACGACGTCTGCTCAACAGCCATGTACAAAAATACCACCGAAGCCATAATTGAGCATTGCTTCGAGCACTGCTTTTCCACAGGGACCATAACGCTGATTCAGGTCCGTTGTTCATCCAGGTTTTAAGGCAACCAGTGCCGTATGCGGTAATGCGCCGAGGACGACTCATCGGCTATGACGGCTTTGACGAGAACTTCGCGCCCTTGACTCATCTAACACGACTTGTAGATACGAGATCTTCGAAGCATGTGAACTGGAGACTACTCAGTATTTCACGCTGAATCATTCAACGTTTGGCTGCTAGACAATTCGTGGGCCGCTACATACTTACTATACCAGCTAGAGTACACTGAAGGTGTATGCACGCGTCCTAGACATCACCATTATCCCATATCATCGCACAGACAAACAGAAGCTTCCGGTCCAACTCCGCGCAAGATGAATGCCACAGAAACCCGCTTTACACAAAACCAAACACCCCAACTATCCCTCAAGGTGCCCAGTGCACCCCCACCCCCCAATCATCACACCTCCCCAAAGCAACGAATCCCCACCCCTCTCAGACCAAGCCTCCCGCCTCCCCTTCCCCCGCCTCATAGCCGCCTACCTCTGCCTCTGCCTTTGTTACTTCACGATCTACCTCGACACCGCGGGCGTCACCACCGCGCTGCCCACCATCAGCACCGCCCTCTCCGCCGGGCCCTCCATCACCTGGGCCGGAACCGCATATCTGCTTGGACAAACCGCCTTTCAGCCTCTCTATGGCCGCCTCTCAGATATCACCGGGCGCAAACCCATCTTACTCGCGTCCATCGCTTGCACGGCGCTCGGCGGGTTGCTATGCGGCTTCGCACGCACTCCCACGTGGTTATACACTGCGCGTGCACTGAGTGGAGTTGGCGGCGGCGGAATCAGCAGTACTGTAGCGATTGTTGTGAGTGATCTCGTGAGCTTGAAAGAGAGGGGGAAGTATCAAGGTATCATCGGCATTGCCATCGGTGCGGGCGCGACGACGGGGCCATTTATTGCTGCTAGCCTGACGGGGTATCATGAAGGGTGGAGGTGGACGTTCTGGGTGCCGGGGATACTGGCGGCGGTGTGCTGGGTTTTGGTGTTGGGGTACGTACCATTGAAGAGTGTGGGAGGGGGGTGGAGGGAGAAGGCTGGCAGGATTGATTGGGTGGGGATTGGGGCGAGTGTGGGAGGGATTGTGCTTGTCTTGGTATGTGGTTTATGGAGATATGATGGAGGGGAATGCTGACGGGGATGTAGATACCGATTAGTTCCGGGTGGAAGTATCTGGCCGTGTAGGAGCGCGTACAGGATAAGTAGATGTCTATCGAAGAATACCTTTGAA